ATGGAGCAGAATTGCCTTCTTCAGTCAATAGCAGACAACTTTGGAGCGATAGCAGCACATCATAGGAATTCAGCAACTGAAGACACAGGTTTTTCTTTTATGGGGTGCAGTATCAGAGGAAGTGGCAGAGTATACCTTGGCAGAGCATGGGGGAACTACTCTAGAATTATATACTCCAAATGTAATATGGATGACATTATTATTCCTGAAGGGTGGTCAGATTGGAATCACTCAGATAGAAAGAAGTGAGATATTATTATAATTAAAGAGATTACATAAAAAATACGACTTAGTAACTTTGTTCTTTGTTGAGATATGACAGTATTATTGCATTACAGAATTGATGTACAGAATATATATATGGAATTTCAGGACTGCAGTGTTTGGGGAGTATGAATGCAATGGAAAAGGAGCAGATAGAAGCAACAGGGCAGCTTGGTCAAAATCATTCAGCTATGATGAAGCAGTGCCTTTCCTGCAGAAGAGTTTCATACATGGAGACCAGTGGCTCAGACTATAGCATTCCGATGCATTATATAATTGATTAGGTTTTGTACTTGTTAATTATCTTACATATCGCACATATTGAATGCTTTTTATGTGTATGTGTGATATGTGATTAGAGTACGTACAGGCTCCCATATGCTTAATCTGTATCATAGTAATAGAGAATATTGATGTGCTCCTACCCTTGTTAATACTTGAAGCAGCACTTGCCATGAAATGAAAGCACTATCTTTGACATGTTATTTGGTACCCTGCTATGCTTCTATTGAATGCACTAAAATCAGAAGGACAATGGATGAAAATAAAAGGCTTGTGAAGAAGGAAAAATAAAAATGATTGGTGGGAGGACCATTTACTTTAAATAAATTAAATAATCTATGTTATTATCTTGGAACGCGAAATGGAACGAAATGTTTAATAGATCAGACCGAGATAGGAAACATATATGTTATCTTATTTCAAATATGTATAGATTTACTCATAATTCGAATAATGATCATTTTAAAAGAATTATTATTAATATTATTTATCGTAAAATATTAAAATAGACATTTGACGTACTTAAATAATTAAAAAATTAAAATCTTTGATCAGCGAATTAAAAAACACTAATCCCAAAAAGAATAAAAGCATACTTTATTTTTAAATTGCTATCATCAATATCATTACACCATTTAATTCCAAATATTAAAAAAGACATTTTACAAAATAAAAGAACTAAATTTAAAAAAATAGTTGAAAGAACAATACAAGTAATTCTCCCTGATGACTATCAAAGAACTTAACATCTATGACCTATCATTTTATAGTCGTATCTCAATAATCACTACGTTCTTCCTCTAAAGTGAAAAATAAAAATAAAAACTTCCAATATTTTCTTGGAAATTATAAAGCTCAGACAAAATGAAAACCGTTTTTTATTACTACATCGATATTCAATATGAAATTGAAGGAATAATTAATACTCATACGAAAGCAACTAGCATCAAATGTTCAAAATAAAAATGATATACCCTGAACAGGTGACAAGAGAAAGTTCCAACTAAATGAACTATAACTCGATCGGGTAAGATCTTCTATTATGTCAGTTGTAAAAACTGTGCAATTGAATCCATTGGCCAATTCTGAGCAAATATAGTAAAGATTAATAACCTTGCTCGGGCATCAAAAACTCATCAGGTGAAAAGGAACTCCATTCACCTAAATTGATACGTGCTTTCCAGCAACAAAATTACAACAGGCAAAAAAATAATGGTTCAAAGACATGGGTTGCAAGACTCCCATAAAACAACCTACATTTTCTCTATTGTACGTAATAACTCGTCAACTCGCAGTGACCTCAAAATCAATGGAAAACTGATCAATCGACTTGCAATGAAATTGACAATCTCATTTGCTAGCCCCAACAAAAAGGAGAATTGTTATAGACTTGCAATGAAACTGGCCATCTTATTTCCAGAAACGACCACGATGCTTCTGTTCTTGCATTCTCCTGCATCATTTGGAAACACCCAGAGTAAAAATGTTAGCCAAACAGAACAGGATAAATTACCAATGTATCAACTAAAAGCACAAAAAGAACCTTCATCCACCAACACGAACTCAATCTCTATGATTGAACAGCAATTTCATCACAATCTTATGGGGATATACATAAACTACCCAACAAATATAGTTTGACTTCACATCCAACACTTATGGGAATATTTTGAAGCTCGTAACATCTAGTACAGACTATCTCAATGCACCCAAATCCTTAAATAAAATGGTCAAAACTTGGGTTGGGTGCGGGTGGGGATGGGGGGAGACAGCAATTATAAATTATAATATCTATGAAAACCACCCCATTTGTTTCCCACTCCCAAAATCCCATTGTGTAATATAAACCGTGCTCTGATAGATGGATCAGAAAACAAGAAAATACAACAACACTCTAACTTCAGCATCCATGCTCAAGACCATCCCTTGTGCCACATTAACATAAAGGAAAGATAGAAATATCCTCAAACTTGATGCAAAAAAACCCTGCGAACTTGAAATGCAATTAGACCAGACAAGTAAAGGTGCATTAGGTTTAATTCCTGCTTCATTTAGAGTAGATATTTTCAATGACAATTACGTAAATGCCACTTTGTTTTCATTTTGTTTCTTGTTTTCATTTTGTTTCTTGTTTTCAAAGATATGCAAAGGAAAATCAAATAACAACAAAAGCTTAGTTTCGTCATTTACTTAAAAATTGAAAACAACACTACATTCACATAACTATCGGTAAAACACAATTGAACACAAACCAAATGCCATCAAGAACATGTTTGACTTGCTCTCTTGTTATTAATTTTACGTGTTCATTATAATTATAAAAATTATATACACTGCTTTCATTAGTTTTTTATTTTAAAATTAAGAAAATGCTAAAAATAGTATAATCTTCAAGGTTTGCTAAAAGATTAAATGTTACCTCTGATGCTCTTTGGAACGCCTGATAAATTCACTGGGAATATCACATCCTTCGTAAGAGGCTAGCACTGGTCTTATATCAGATGGACTACTACGGGCAACAACTGCAAATAGATATAGGAGAAGGCAATGCAAATTTTATAAGCATTAAAGTCACCACAATAATTTCAAGCATGAATTTGTTGATAATTACATCTCAAGGGAACAGAGTTACACTGAAGGAGTGATATGAAAATAAAAAATTATAATTCAAACATTATCTCATTCTTCAACATATCTTAAAGGAATGCTTACACTCAAGAAATGGTATAAAATCCAAAAGGGCCGTGTCATCTATATCTTGCTGCTGCCATGCCTTAATGGGGACACAGTTCTCAGGCTGCAGGCAACTTTCCAGAGCATGGCCGCTTAAATAAAGGACTTTTCCTGGATTTCTGTTTAGTTTAGAAAGATCCTGCCAAGCAAAGGATGGAAAAAGGGAAAAATATCTCATTAAAAGAATATCCAGAAAAGCAAAAGTAACGTATCATAATAAAACCGTATATTTTCTGTTTACATTCTTCAGATGTAAGTAAAATTATCTATTACTATTATTATATTATACACATAAAGATGCAATATCGCCAAGATACTTGTTCTTATTATTTGCCATGATTGGCTATACTCCTTTCACAGGAATTTATATGTATAATTTGAGAGACAATACTATAAGAACATAAAAACATACTCTGAAGTGTTTCCCATCTTGATACTTAGTAGCTGGCCTTGACAGCCTATATCTAATGCAATGCTTGGTATCCAGCCTTTCTATAACAGGGTCAACAAACTGCACAAATCAACAAATGTAAGGAAATCTTATACAGGGGAAAGTATAGAGAATATAGAGCAGAATCAGATTACCATATTCTGTTCGTCTGTGTACACTACTATTTCATAGAACTGAGCTAAATGTTCCAAGAAGGCATCAACTCCAGGTCTTTTGAAAGTCTGCCAACCTGTATCTCGCTTTACATACCATATGAAAGTAAAATTCAATATTATAGTCATAGTAAGGACCGCAGCAATGCAATAAGAGATCCAATGCATTTTTTGTGACACAAAGTACATAAAGAATTGAGGAATGTACGCAAAGCAGCACACTCTTTACTGTTGGTTGAAATTCACGAGTATCAAATTCATTGGCTCCAAGAGATTAGTGCATCCCACATGAATTTCAACCAATACAAAATAGTGAGTTGAAAAGAAAATGCTGCTGTGGTGCTGCCTGATGGCACTTCTCATAAACGGAATTGTCCCTCAAAAACGCATAACACTACCTAGCAAAGAAAAAGTGGGTACAGTAGACATCTTACCGTCCAAATGTAGTGAATCAATGTTTCATTCAGATCAAGAACAAGAGTAAACACATGTTGCTCCTGAGGAAGCAAATCAGGAAGTAGCTTGTCCGTGTATGGTTCAGTATAACTCTAAAAAGAAGCCAGAGTACCATATTAAACAAGGTAAGAAATAGATTATCTTTAAATGACAATTGTAAACCAAATCAGCATACTAAAAAGCAAGAACATACCTGAACTAGTTCTTCAATCAGCCTTCTTGAATCCAAATAAAACTCCACTGCTTTAGTAGGCACTGGGGTATCACGTAAAAAAGAATAAGCATGTCATTAATAACAAAGGCATACAAATTTATAACGAATTGGGAATTGAATACCACAACCCTCCCCCCAAAAAAAGTCCACACAATGTCAATTTGTATCCAGTGACGCTCCTCAACAATGCAAGTTCTTGCCCCTAAGTTCTTATTTTCCTACCCCCACACCCTTCATAGGTGTGGCAAGAAACTTGATAACATACCACATTCTCATCCACTTTTTTTTTTCAAAAAAAATATCTTCAGTATATGTAAGGGCATATAACGGCTATAATTACACAGAACCTATGCCTTATCTGAATATGACCAATAAGTTAGCATAAATCATTTACTTAAATGAACAGAGCAACCCTAATACAGGATAAGTGATGTACAGACTAAAGCTTACACAGAACCTATGGCTTATCTGAATATGACCAATAAGTTAGCATAAGTCATTTACTTAAATGAACAGAACAACCCTAATAGAGGATAAGTGATGTACAGACTAAAGCTCAGAGAACGCACCGGCCATTGCAGTTGAATAGAGCAAACCTTGAAATTTCTGCACCAAACATGGACTAGAACATGTCACCTTAGGATATATTAAACTGAAGAAACTGACAACTATTATATCGAAATCAGCCAGAATCCAAAACTATGTAACAGTGAGGTCCAGTGTGAGATCATTTAAAAGATGAAGAATAACAGAAATTAACCCAATATCAATAAAGGATTTACACGAACAATGAAAAACTACTGTATCAAATGACGAGCAGTGTTGGCAACAGTCTCTTTTAAATACACTCTATTTTAGCTGAAATTTATTGAAAATCAAAACTTTCTGTGGGTTTTACTTCTTATTTAATGAGTCTCTCTTGATTTTGTAATTATCTATAAATTTTAACCAAAAGTAATTTGTGTTATAGAGTGTGTCACTGAATCCCAATCAAACTATTATGTGAAAGTTAAAGTGGAGGACCAGGCACCCACAGAGAAAAAAAAAATAATTAAATGGTGGCAAAGTAAATTCTACGCACAAATGTGAAAGTTAGTAGCCAATGCAGCCTATAGCAATAAACAACAACCCAAAAGGCCATTTCATCAACAAAATTCAGGTTAGGTATTAAACCCGCAATATGATTCTAACAAATCCAGATAATAAGATCAAAACACAGATTCAGCAAAGAAGAATGAATACGAAGACAGCTTGAAAAGGAGTCAGAACTTACATCGAGCGCAGTGCCTCCATCAACAGCAGTGTGTTTGGCAGACTCACGGAAGGACTTCGTTTTCTCTTCTATTTCCTCCAAGCTGTAAGCTGAACATCGCGATCCAAAAGAAAAACAGAATAATCAACTAACATCAATTCCAGATTAATACAATTGAACAACAACCCTAACCTATAAAAGTGGCTATTTCGAAATAAGTAACACACGAACACACAGAGAGACACGCAAAAGATACTTAGATTCTACGAATGCATGAACCATAAACCACTAAAACGAAAATGGAAAGAAACAAAAACGAACCGTAAGAAGCGTAACCGGCAAAGCCGGTGGCTCCGGTAAGTGCACCGACGATGGCGTATTTGAAGAAATTCCAGCGCCTGGGAGAAGGAGGAGGAGGAAGAGGAGCGGAAGCTGCATTGGGAGAAGGAGGAGGAGGAAGAGGAGCAGAAGCTGTATTGGTGCAGAGGAATCGCTTCGATACGAATGAAATCGCGCGAGATCGAAGGATTCCCAACGACATAGTTGGATTCTTGTGAGCAGTGACAGAGAGCAAGAGAAAGAGGTTCAAGTAGGGTTTTTCTCCTGCGCTCTTGAGAAAGAATCGCCCATCAGCTTCTACTATACCCTGTTTGGCTACGTGTTATTCCGTTCCTTCGTATAAACGCTTTTTTTATTTATATTTATGTACGAAACAAATAATCATTTTTTTTCTTTCTATTAAATATTAATTAGTTGACGCTTATTGCAATATAAACCGCCTTACAAAAAAATTAATTATAAATAACATTATTAAATACAGATTATCTCTTTCATTATTTTGTATCATAAACATTATTTAACGAAATTTAACTCNTCAGATGGACTACTACGGGCAACAACTGCAAATAGATATAGGAGAAGGCAATGCAAATTTTATAAGCATTAAAGTCACCACAATAATTTCAAGCATGAATTTGTTGATAATTACATCTCAAGGGAACAGAGTTACACTGAAGGAGTGATATGAAAATAAAAAATTATAATTCAAACATTATCTCATTCTTCAACATATCTTAAAGGAATGCTTACACTCAAGAAATGGTATAAAATCCAAAAGGGCCGTGTCATCTATATCTTGCTGCTGCCATGCCTTAATGGGGACACAGTTCTCAGGCTGCAGGCAACTTTCCAGAGCATGGCCGCTTAAATAAAGGACTTTTCCTGGATTTCTGTTTAGTTTAGAAAGATCCTGCCAAGCAAAGGATGGAAAAAGGGAAAAATATCTCATTAAAAGAATATCCAGAAAAGCAAAAGTAACGTATCATAATAAAACCGTATATTTTCTGTTTACATTCTTCAGATGTAAGTAAAATTATCTATTACTATTATTATATTATAAACATAAAGATGCAATATCGCCAAGATACTTGTTCTTATTATTTGCCATGATTGGCTATACTCCTTTCACAGGAATTTATATGTATAATTTGAGAGACAATACTATAAGAACATAAAAACATACTCTGAAGTGTTTCCCATCTTGATACTTAGTAGCTGGCCTTGACAGCCTATATCTAATGCAATGCTTGGTATCCAGCCTTTCTATAACAGGGTCAACAAACTGCACAAATCAACAAATGTAAGGAAATCTTATACAGGGGAAAGTATAGAGAATATAGAGCAGAATCAGATTACCATATTCTGTTCGTCTGTGTACACTACTATTTCATAGAACTGAGCTAAATGTTCCAAGAAGGCATCAACTCCAGGTCTTTTGAAAGTCTGCCAACCTGTATCTCGCTTTACATACCATATGAAAGTAAAATTCAATATTATAGTCATAGTAAGGACCGCAGCAATGCAATAAGAGATCCAATGCATTTTTTGTGACACAAAGTACATAAAGAATTGAGGAATGTACGCAAAGCAGCACACTCTTTACTGTTGGTTGAAATTCACGAGTATCAAATTCATTGGCTCCAAGAGATTAGTGCATCCCACATGAATTTCAACCAATACAAAATAGTGAGTTGAAAAGAAAATGCTGCTGTGGTGCTGCCTGATGGCACTTCTCATAAAAGGAATTGTCCCTCAAAAACGCATAACACTACCTAGCAAAGAAAAAAAGGGTACAGTAGACATCTTACAGTCCAAATGTAGTGAATCAATGTTTCATTCAGATCAAGAACAAGAGTAAACACATGTTGCTCCTGAGGAAGCAAATCAGGAAGTAGCTTGTCCGTGTATGGTTCAGTATAACTCTAAAAAGAAGCCAGAGTACCATATTAAACAAGGTAAGAAATAGATTATCTTTAAATGACAATTGTAAACCAAATCAGCATACTAAAAAGCAAGAACATACCTGAACTAGTTCTTCAATAAGCCTTCTTGAATCCAAATAAAACTCCACTGCTTTAGTAGGCACTGGGGTATCACGTAAAAAAGAATAAGCATGTCATTAATAACAAAGGCATACAAATTTATAACGAATTGGGAATTGAATACCACAACCCTCCCCCCAAAAAAAGTCCACACAATGTCAATTTGTATCCAGTGACGCTCCTCAACAATGCAAGTTCTTGCCCCTAAGTTCTTATTTTCCTACCCCCACACCCTTCATAGGTGTGGCAAGAAACTTGATAACATACCACATTCTCATCCACTTTTTTTTTTCAAAAAAAATATCTTCAGTATATGTAAGGGCATATAACGGCTATAATTACACAGAACCTATGCCTTATCTGAATATGACCAATAAGTTAGCATAAATCATTTACTTAAATGAACAGAGCAACCCTAATACAGGATAAGTGATGTACAGACTAAAGCTTACACAGAACCTATGGCTTATCTGAATATGACCAATAAGTTAGCATAAGTCATTTACTTAAATGAACAGAGCAACCCTAATACAGGATAAGTGATGTACAGACTAAAGCTTACACAGAACCTATGGCTTATCTGAATATGACCAATAAGTTAGCATAAGTCATTTACTTAAATGAACAGAGCAACCCTAATACAGGATAAGTGATGTACAGACTAAAGCTTACACAGAACCTATGGCTTATCTGAATATGACCAATAAGTTAGCATAAGTCATTTACTTAAATGAACAGAACAACCCTAATAGAGGATAAGTGATGTACAGACTAAAGCTCAGAGAACGCACCGGCCATTGCAGTTGAATAGAGCAAACCTTGAAATTTCTGCACCAAACATGGACTAGAACATGTCACCTTAGGATATATTAAACTGAAGAAACTGACAACTATTATATCGAAATCAGCCAGAATCCAAAACTATGTAACAGTGAGGTCCAGTGTGAGATCATTTAAAAGATGAAGAATAACAGAAATTAACCCAATATCAATAAAGGATTTACACGAACAATGAAAAACTACTGTATCAAATGACGAGCAGTGTTGGCAACAGTCTCTTTTAAATACACTCTATTTTAGCTGAAATTTATTGAAAATCAAAACTTTCTGTGGGTTTTACTTCTTATTTAATGAGTCTCTCTTGATTTTGTAATTATCTATAAATTTTAACCAAAAGTAATTTGTGTTATAGAGTGTGTCACTGAATCCCAATCAAACTATTATGTGAAAGTTAAAGTGGAGGACCAGGCACCCACAGGAGAAAAAAAAAATAATTAAATGGTGGCAAAGTAAATTCTACGCACAAATGTGAAAGTTAGTAGCCAATGCAGCCTATAGCAATAAACAACAACCCAAAAGGCCATTTCATCAACAAAATTCAGGTTAGGTATTAAACCCGCAATATGATTCTAACAAATCCAGATAATAAGATCAAAACACAGATTCAGCAAAGAAGAATGAATACGAAGACAGCTTGAAAAGGAGTCAGAACTTACATCGAGCGCAGTGCCTCCATCAACAGCAGTGTGTTTGGCAGACTCACGGAAGGACTTCGTTTTCTCTTCTATTTCCTCCAAGCTGTAAGCTGAACATCGCGATCCAAAAGAAAAACAGAATAATCAACTAACATCAATTCCAGATTAATACAATTGAACAACAACCCTAACCTATAAAAGTGGCTATTACGAAATAAGTAACACACGAACACACAGAGAGACACGCAAAAGATACTTAGAATATACGAATGCATGAACCATAAACCACTAAAACGAAAATGGAAAGAAACAAAAACGAACCGTAAGAAGCGTAACCGGCAAAGCCGGTGGCTCCGGTAAGAGCACCGACGATGGCGTATTTGAAGAAATTCCAGCGCCTGGGAGAAGGAGGAGGAGGAAGAGGAGCGGAAGCTGCATTGGGAGAAGGAGGAGGAGGAAGAGGAGCAGAAGCTGTATTGGTGCAGAGGAATCGCTTCGATACGAATGAAATCGCGCGAGATCGAAGGATTCCCAACGACATAGTTGGATTCTTGTGAGCAGTGACAGAGAGCAAGAGAAAGAGGTTCAAGTAGGGTTTTTCTCCTGCGCTCTTGAGAAAGAATCGCCCATCAGCTTCTACTATACCCTGTTTGGCTACGTGTTATTCCGTTCCTTCGTATAAACGCTTTTTTTATTTATATTTATGTACGAAACAAATAATCATTTTTTTTCTTTCTATTAAATATTAATTAGTTGACGCTTATTGCAATATAAACCGCCTTACAAAAAAATTAATTATAAATAACATTATTAAATACAGATTATCTCTTTCATTATTTTGTATCATAAACATTATTTAACGAAATTTAACTCACGATATCATTAATTAAAACGGTTTATTTAAAATAAAAAGAAATGATATTTATTTGAAACCAAAAATATGATATTTTATGTTAAAAATATACAGGAAATTAATGTATATTTGAATGTTGTTTAATTTTATATGGTGGGAATTTTTTCTAAAACTAATGAAACAGTGATTAATTACCAAATGTGTTTTATCTGTTCAAACTGTAGAGATGTTTGTTCATAAAATTTTGACACTAATCTTATGTCATTTCAGCTTGATTAAACTCTCTTTGGAGAAACGTAGATCAATGTTAAAGCTTTCTAGAAATGCCAAAATATCAAAAACTAGAGTCCATATTAAAACTGCACCTTCCATGCATGTCTATCTTTCTCTTCTTTCTAAGCACAGGTTGTCTCATGTTTCTTCTTTTCATTTTCCTTACATTGGAAAACTCAAACAACATATAATTGCAGAACTACTCGAAACAGTAAAACTTTTCAATCTGACATCATCCATTCTCCAAATGTTAATCATTTTCTTCTGGAGATTTCTTTTATGTGTAAAGATAAGACCAAATTACCACAAATACAAATATGATATTTTAAATTGAAGTGAATTAATATTAGAATTTACTTCTTAATATTTTATCAGATTCTATTTTTTAATCTGATATCAAAGCCTTAGTATATACCTCAACACGACAGAAGTGTAGCTAATTTTGTAAAGTTGAATTAAAATTCCATCCTTTTATCAACAACTGTGAAATTGCGCCATGGAAACCTCAAATTGGTGAACATGAAGAAAACAATGTCAATATCTCTTACAAACAGTACTTAGACAACTGGCTTCTCACTCTGCATGTAGTTATCTTCATTTATGGCACTGTCCATGAACACCAGCTGAGCCTAATATGCCATATGCGTCACAATTATTTGCCATCCAAGGGCATTTCAGGAAACAAAAAAACAGAAGAATCATCACACACCATCTATATAAGGAGGTCCTCCCACATACACAACCAACCATCTCATACAAAACTCTGTCAGCCAACCCTTCCTCCTTTCTTTTAGACATATGGATCAACTTAAAAACCAAACCTCACAGCCTTCCCTCAAAACGCTTAAGGTCATGACTATATACAGTGTGTTAGCTCATTATCGTTTCAGTATTGTTGAGTGTTCATTCCTCTTCTCACCGTTCTTCTGCTTGTGTTCTTCTCCATGTACTTCAAATTTGTTTTAATATCAAATTTTCTGAACTCTTGTGTGTCTTTAGACATTCCCATTTCTTTTTTTCAATTGTTTATCTACCCCACAACAAACAATAACTCACAGAAAAGACCGACGATGCTCTCTCCCCTCTGCAATGGGTAATACAGACGTGATATGTGATATGAGTAAAAACTCACCAACTCTCTTTCCCCGGCTCTACCCCCGCGGACACAGTCATCTTTGTGTTAACGACCCTTCACTATTTTGTAACAGATGTGATTGGGTCACATAGACCCATGTTCTCGGTTGTGTCTGGGGCCCGCGATTAATGTTGGAGTCCCGCACTCCTCGTGGTGCCCATCGTCGTCGGCTGCTCAGGCATCTGATGCCCGCTTGCCGCAGCGTCCCGTCACTGATATGACCGGGCCCACCCTGTGTGGCGCAGAAGTCCTCGCCCCCGTGGCGCCGTTGGAGCCGCTCTTGTGGTCGATTTGGCGGCCTCGCCCGCGGCCGTTGCTAGTTTGCACGCACAGAGCGGCCCGGAGGAGCTAGCGACTGCTTCACGCACCATCCATGCCCGCGCCACACTGGGATTGTGCGCTGGCGCCCGCCAAGGAGTCCAGGCCAGTTGCTTCATTCTGGTCGTGACAGCTTGGCGCGTAGCGCTGTGACGCCGCCGGCAGGGGGCCAGTATGTAGATTACACGCACGAAGCAACTAGCTGAGCAAAGTATCATCGGAGTGGTTGAATCAAACCTTTGAGCAGCTTCCGGTCTCCCTCCTTTCTCTCTATTAGACCGCTTGAAACGTGCTACCAAAGTATGAAGACCGCAAATGTGAGCCATGACTGCCAGCACGTGTTCGACTTAGTGTACGATGGTGGTTTTCATGACTTCCCCTTGCGTGTAACCCCCCCAACAGTGTGTTAGTTGGTGTGTTAGTTTGTGATGTATGAGGGGAAAGCGCACCACTAAATAGTCGCATACATGTTGTGGGTGGTGGACTTAATACAGGTTCTGTGAATATACACTTTTGTGGAGCGTGAGCACTAGGATGCGAAAGTTGTAAAGGTTCGTATATTGTGTAATGTATTGTATTAAATAATGCACCGTTGAGTCTTAGTTGTATGTAATATTTATGAATTTTGCTATTATATCTCTTCTTATGTTGATCTCACCAAAGAGCAAGCTCTGAACATGAATTCTTGTTTAAATGAAGCCATAGGATTTAACAATATGATGTGATACACCAGAATAGAAATAAATTTGGACAATGTTGTATTCTGGAATATAGGATTGATCTAATTGGGTGAAAAGGAAACAATCTTTTATTATGAGACAACTCACATCACATGATTGATAGCAGAAGTACTTAGAGTTGTTTGACGTGCTAAAGAGAATTAATGCAGAGTAGATGTGATAGTTCCTATTGTTTTATTAAAGAAAAGATTAGTGATATGAATGCAAACAGACAAGTGATTTAAGACCAGAGATTCATATTAAGAAGAATGTCAGTACTATGTTTATAGCAACATGTTTAATTAGTTGTCTGTTATCAGTGTTTATATCATTGTCTGGCCAACAAGGTAAGAAAGCCTGTTGAACTGTGGTTGTTCTCTATTGTTCAACAGTATTCTAAATAATTGAAAATGGATTTGTGATTGAATTAGCCAGACAGCAAATTGTACCATCAGAAATCAGCTCAGCCAAAAGGTTGGTTACTCACTGATTGCTGAGAAAAATAATATATAGATATTATTCCCATAAACTTAAAGTACAAACATGGTACGATCTTATTCTTATTCTTTTTATTTATCTATATTTTGTTTGTTAGAGGCTTTTTTCCATACTTGAATACAACCAATCTGTGTTAGTAGAAGGTAGAAGGTGATGGAGAGAATTACTGATTACAGTACACTTTCTCTTTACTTCTTTTTTTACTTCAAAAGATTGCTAATAATACAAGATGTGTATGCATAAAAAGCATCAACACTACAATTTACTTACTATCACTGTAAATTTCTGTCAAAAGACCATCTTTTACATGCTCCAGTAATGTTAAAATTATGATCATTCGTATCAATTTAGCAATAACACTTTTAGTAACTGTGGAAGCTATGCAAAGTTAAAAGTATGTTACTCTGCTAAAAACCAGATTTTGCAGTTACTTGCATGCATGTGCAGTACTTTAGAACTGTTATTATCTATAACGGATGTCCTTTTGTTATTATTCTTTTCACTTCCATCAAACACGGAAAATTTACTTTTTATGCATCAGAAAGATTGACCTAAGTACGGTTATAAGGTCTCTCAAAGTCGCTAGTAGCAAATGCAAGTCAATGATTGCATGCGCCCAAACCTAGAACAGCCTAGTGAAAGTGAACTTTCATAAATATAAAATCTGAATGGCCCATGAAATATCAATAATTGACTCAGTTCTTTCAGGTTCAAAGAATTGTTAAAATAGTTCACTTCTCCCAACAAAATGATCTTACACAAAACTGAAATCAAATTTCTCATCCCAACAAAATGATCTTACACAACATCTGCAGTACCACTTTCTGCATAAAATGGTAAACAAAAAATGTAAGTTTAACACAACACTAGCTATTTTCTGGACCCTTCACAGAGTCAAAACCATTGGGCCATGTTACAACTTCAGTATTGTTGTCTATGTTAGCATACAAACAAAGTTCTACAGAAGATAAAATAATAACGGAAATGTAATTCTATTGGTAAGAGACTTTTGGAGTGGTATCAAAAACAAATCTGTAAGACTCTGATCTAAAACAGATAATATCTTATCAGTGAAGAGATCTATGTGTGTGTTTTCCCTCCTTATTGTCTATCTCTTTTGATTTCTGTGGGAGGAGCCAAAGACCAGGAGAAAAATGGTCCTAAAGGGCAAGGATTTTTTCTAGGATCAATTATAAAACACCAATTCATGAACAAAGACAAGAGGGCATAGCATAATGTACGGAAATCTTATCTTAGATGAATATTATTAATTATTTAGAATTCATAAAATCAAATATAATGAGAGACTTTTGTTTTTATTCTGAAAGCGACTCAAGGATGCGGTCAATATTTACAGTGAATGGTGTACAATGGCCAAGAAATCATAAAGCCATTACAGTGATTATGCAGAAAACTATGTGCGTTTCATTTTCAGTTTCTCTTAAGTGGATTATCATTAAATGAGTTTATGTTCCATGTGGATCCTCCCCACCAAAGTGAAGTCAACCTCGAAAGTGAAAGTTTTTGTTTGATATTTCTCTTCTGTCATGGTAGGAAGGTGGGACTAACTCTCATCAGACAATAAAAACTACATGACAGTAGTGAAGTCTTCTTGACATCCTCCCACAGGGTACTATAGTTCATGCATGCATAAGAAAGGCAATAATAGAAAGAAAGGAAATCCAAGATAAAGAATAAAAGGGTACAAATGTAACATTGTTGCATCAAAAGGGAAGGTGATAGTATATGCATGTGGCAAGGGTGCATCTGAGATGAATTATTGATGGCTCTTGATGTATAAAACTAAGCGTAGGAAATTGTATGCATAAATCACATTGATGGGGACAGTGCATAAGATTGTCCATTCAATATCAATAATGTATATATAACTACATTCAAAATAATGAAGTGGGGTCTTCTAATTCGGTGCCTTAGGCCCTTGAAAATAGAGTTAATTTCATTCTGAGAATGAGAAATGGGAGCTGTATGCTTGCAATTGATTACATCACTGATTTTATATCAATAATGTACTTGAAAGTAAATACATGTATATAAATCCAAGAGGAAAAGTGCCTCCTACTTCGGATAACTGATTAAGAAATGCTCAAGTGCTTATCTTTTAAGCGTAATATTTTTAAGGTTTAACCATATAGGAAATCTCTCTTAATATTTTCAATTGAGGCTTAATTTAAACTTTTTGTTTATTAACTATTCAAAATTATTATATTTTTTGATTGAACATGTGTAGTTTAATTCTTTTACTTGTCTCTGCGTAAAAATGCGAGATAACCTGCCTCGCGATTTAAAGGAAATAATAAAATATTAATTATTAATCATAATTTTTGGTTTGGTGTTATGTTTTGTGTGGGGGGGGAGAAAGAGGAAGAAGTGGGGGGGGTGGGGGGAGGGAAAAAATAAAAGAAGGAGGGGGAGGAGGAGTTAGGGGAGGGGGTGGGGGGAGGAAAGGAGGTAAGGGGTGAAGGGGATGGAGGGGGAGGGTGGGGGGTGTTAGGGGGGTGGGGGGGGTGGTGGGGTGAGGAGGAAGATGGAGGGGGGGAAGGGGGGGGGTGGGTTGGAAGGAGAGAGGAGGGGGAAGGGGGAGTGGGGGGGAGAGGAGGGTAGGGTGGGAGGGGGGATGGGGGGGGGGCGGGGGGGGGGGGGGGGAAAGGGAAGGGGGAAGGGAGGGGGGGGGGGGTGGAAGGAGGGGATGGGGGGGGGAGGGGGGGGGAAGGAGGGGGGGGGGGGGGGGGAGGGGAGGAGGGAGGAGGGGGGAAGGGTAGGGGGGGGGGGGGGGGGGGGAAGGGGGAGGGGGGGGAAGGAGGGGAGGAAGGGGGGGGGGTGGGGGGAAAAGGGGAGTGTGGGGGAGTTAGGGGGGAGGGGGGAAGGGGAAGGGGGGGGGAGTGGGGGAGGGGTGAGGAAGGAAGGGAAATGGGGGGGGGTGGGGGAGGAGGGGAGGAGGGGAAGGGTTGGGGGGGGGGGGGAGGGTGAGGGGAAGGTGGGGAAGGGGGGGAGGGAGGAGGGGGGGGTGGGGGGGGGGGAAGGGTGTGGGAGGGGGGGAGGGGGGGGGGGGGGGGGGGGGGGGGGGAGGGGAAGGGGGAGAAGGAAGGATGGGAGGGGGGAGAAGGGAAAGATGGGGGGGGGGGTAGGTGTGAGGAGGGGGTGAGGTGAGGAGAGGGTGAGGGGGGGGTGGGGGGGGGGGGGGGAAGGGGATGGGCAGGGGGGGGGGGGGGAGGGAAGGGGGAGGGGGGGGGGGGGAAAGGGGAGGGGGAGCGGGGGGGGGGAGGGGGGAAGGGGGGGAAGGGTGTTGGGAAGGAGGCGGGGGAAGGGGGGGGGAGGGGGGGGGAAGGGGAGGGGGGGGGGGGGGGGGGGGGGGAGGGGGGGGGGGGAAAGGGGGTTTAGGGGGGAAAAACGGAAGGGGGGAGGGAGAGGGGAGGAGGGGGGGGGGAGGGAGGGGAAGAAGGGGGGGGGGGGGGGGAGGGGGGGGAGGAGAGTTTTTTAAATTGTATTATAGTATTTTTGTATTTTATTTTTTTTTTTGGGGGTAATTTTTTTTTGTTTTTGTTTTATTAAATCTTTTTTTTTTAATAGTTTGTTTTTTTTTTTTTTAAATTTTTTAAGACATAAGCTATTATTTATTAAATTTCTTAACCACATGTTAAACAAATAGAGAAAATGATGAAATATGATAATAATCAGGTCATTTGAAAAAAAAATAACTGAAACTCATGAAAAATATAAAATGTTGAATATTCAATAAAAAAATAATATAAACTCAATAAAAAATAATCAAATTACACTTTAAGTTTAATAAAAAATAATTAAATAAGTGTATATATCAATTTTGTTTGAGTTTCAACTAAAACTATATAGATAAATTTCGATGTTATATATTATAAAAAATAAATATCTTTAATTTTATATAGTATAGTAGAGCATTTTTATAATATCTTCACTTGAAATAAAAATATAATATTTTTTTCCACAAAATCTCGTTTAAAGTAAACTCACGATTAACTGAAAGAGAGGATAAGATCTCAAAATAAAAAATCACATTAAAGATGCTCATTGAATGGATAAAATTTCATTAAAAAGGAAATAAAAAAAAATGGCATGCCATGGGTGTGCTGTCGTCACATATGATGAAAACCAAGCACACCTTAACTTTTGTTTTTTTCTCTATCATATATGCAATGCAATTTGCATAGGCTTTTTTAGTAAGTATTGTCGGTTCAGTAAATGGCGGCTTTAGTGTCGGTTCTCCCAAGCTGGTGCATAGGCTTTCCAAAAATCTTATAGGGCCGAACCTTCAAAAGCAAGTATTTCCAGAAAGCATTTTGAAAATTAAAATATAAAATTCTAGAAACATTCTGTGTTCACAGTTCTAGAAACTTTCTCGAAAGAAAATTTCGAACCAATTCTAAATATTTCTGCAATAAATCGTTTAGGGAGCCTTAATCTTCCAGAAAATGTAATAAATGCATGTACTGATCATGCCCTCATCCAGTTGCTAGTATAGAACTTGACACATGAAAGAACAACATGCTACATAATCAATTTATGATCAATTTTAGATGGGATGTAAGAATCAGACAAGAATGAAAGTGCGTGCGCAGATAAGGCTTCAATCTCAAACTTTACTCCCTTTTGGAGCATCAGCTTTAGCTCCAACCTTCACAAGCAACAAGGCAAGACACGCAGCATACAATCTCAATCCGTTTGGAAAAGAAGGCCAAGGACATGGACTGTAAGTAATCAATACCTCCATTGTGGTACCTCCCTTTGAAGGTAGCATCTAAGTAACATGGCTTCAACTTTTCTTTTGTCTAGAAGGAATATTGAGAGCACTGTATTAGTAGATCAGATGGGCAACCAGGTCAATCTTACGCACTACAAGTAATATCTTATTTACCCTCAGCAGTCAAAGGAAGGATACACTGCTTTGGAACAAAATATCTCTCGGAATCTGAAGGAAAAGCTCCAAGCCAGCGTATCTCTGGGACGCGAAGATGTTTCGTGTCATAAGCCATTTGCTAACATAATCCAGAGAAATAGATTAGTTAGGTAGGATATGAAACTTCAACTACGCCATTACAGAGATAGATTCAATCCACTCAATGATCCTATAATTTGATAATCAGATCCTTAAAATTATAATCATGTTGATGTATTTCTCAATTGATAAACTAACAAATACTGACCATCGAACCAAATCTGTAAGTGGTTAGAATGTCAAAGCCATAGGGATCACAATCTACCAAGCAATAAACAGGCAGGCGCAAATTCTCTACCAGAAGCCGCAAAAACCTGTTAGTATACAAAATGAATATAATCAGAGATATATTAAGTATGTAAGTTCCTAACTTTGCGCACAAACAAACACATTTGCTAGGATTTACTAAAAGCCCAGTTGGCATATGGCTTGATAGCATAACATCATAAGCATATGGAAAAAAAAAGTTCACACCTTCTTGTAGGAATATCTGGGTAGCCTCTTCCCTGTATAAAGATAGAATTCAAACAAAGAAATATTGTTCCAAAAGAAACTAGTGTCTTCAGAAGATTGCTTACAGTGATGACAATACAGTGATTTACATTGCAGAATTGGTCGTTTGCCAGTCTTTGGAAAACTGCAAGTGGGGTTCAACATGGACCGTCTTTTCAATAGAATTTTCTGTTTTTTTTTCCTCTTTTCCTCCAAAACAAAAGCATTTGTTTACCTGATTCTTTCTCCACAACTAATATGTATTGTGCAACACTAATGATATCTATGATCAGGTTAGGAAATGTTTCACCGCAATTCTAATCACTTTGCACTTTAACTTAATATGAAGTACCAAATATAATTATAAGAAGGAAACTGAACAATTGCAGTATTTTCACCTGGAAACAAGGATACCTTTAACTTCCTCAACATGAACGGGGACGGGGTGGACCTGCACAAAAGCCAAATGTCTGCGTTTAGTTTAAATGGTAAAAACCACTACTTCATTCAGGTCATTCTTAGTACTTACACTGTTGGGAGAACTAATGCAGTCAAATTTCCTCTCTCCTTCAGAGAACCTTATCCAGCCCATAGTTAACCTACAGCATAAACAAACTTGATCCATAAGTCTTAGCACCTTCTAGTTAAACTTGTCATTATAATATGAAAATCTCAATAGAAGGCAAAAATTATCAGCTTCGAGAAAATTAATTAATCATTACTACAGCAGCAGTAGAGAAAAATAACGAAAGCTAGCCTCATTATTGTACGTTAATGGAGTCAAATTTTCTCACTATCATCAATTATAAAATCAATGAAACAGGGGATCTCATAATTTTAAAGCAGTAGGTAATTAAAAATACGTGTCCTTTGAACTTCATAACAATTTCTATTTTCTAGATGCGCCAGAGGCGAGATGTTATTTTTATGCAAAAAAGTGACACATTCATTAAATATTATTACATGAGGAAATAAAACCACTACTACTATTATTATTAGGAAAATTCTGACAACACAGTGCATTTGCCAAGATTGAGTGCGATCTCATACTGTACCCATTCCCTGCGGAAACCTAAAAAGGGAAAATTAAAAAAGTATAAGCATCTCAAACGTGGATCTTTTTGTCTTTAACATCAAATAAGTTGCAAAACAAGTATATCGGAAACTCAGATAGAAGTTTTTTTCGCCAAACCAAAAGAAAATTGACAAAAAAAGTAACGATAGAGCAGAAAACTACCACATTAAGGTTATGGCGACTGCACTGCATTAGAATACATATATCATTAATTGCTTGGTCCACCACTGACTGATCTGCATTGTAAAAAAAAGAAAAGATACATGAAAAAAATCCAGTGTCATGAGAAGTTAAACCTTTTCCATAAACTTTAAATAGGTATTGGCACTGACTTTTCGACAACATANAACCTAAAAAGGGAAAATTAAAAAAGTATAAGCATCTCAAACGTGGATCTTTTTGTCTTTAACATCAAATAAGTTGCAAAACAAGTATATCGGAAACTCAGATAGAAGTTTTTTTCGCCAAACCAAAAGAAAATTGACAAAAAAAGTAACGATAGAGCAGAAAACTACCACATTAAGGTTATGGCGACTGCACTGCATTAGAATACATATATCATTAATTGCTTGGTCCACCACTGACTGATCTGCATTGTAAAAAAAAGAAAAGATACATGAAAAAAATCCAGTGTCATGAGAAGTTAAACCTTTTCCATAAACTTTAAATAGGTATTGGCACTGACTTTTCGACAACATAATATCCAAGATTATGATAATTTGAACCTGAGTATAACTAAAATTATGGTACATTTTTGCAAACTTTTGTCACAAGAAACATCTGAGCTTTTTTTTTTTCGCATTCAAGGGCAATTTTATGGGTAGAAATGAAACTTGCAAAACCAAGCAACTTGATTTCGACCAAGCAAAAGTAGAGAAACAACAACCGTATTTTAGTCAATGGTAATCTAGAACTCTAATGCAACATCAACTTATAAAAACAGCCAGATCCACAGAGCATAAAGATCTCAAAACACGAGGAAGAGAAAGACAGTTGAAGCCATAAATTAGCGAGTCCTAAACTCGTGATCAGCAAAGGCAATTTGGTTTCAAGATGAGATACTGCAATACATAATAATGACAAACTTTCGCCTTATGTTCTGAAAATGAATACTATTCGACTCGATTTTTTGGTTCTCACGTTACAGTGAAGAATACAATCCATCCAGCAAATCGAAACTCACCCAAAAATAAAGAAGGATACGTGTAATAAATGTCTCTCTTGGAGCTATGCTTGTTCTCTTGCAAAAGTTTCTGAACAATCAGCATCACCCTCAACATGACAACTGAAAGCGGAACCCATCCAAAACAGAGAGTCTCGTAATTCGTATTCGTAATTGCGTATACAGTTAAAGAATAGCCGAAAGGAAATATACACAATAATTCAAAGTCGTGAAATGAGAACGAGAGTGACCTAGTCTGTGCGCGCGGGATTTCGTGCGGAGTGTGAGAGCTTCCTTTCCGTACGGCAAATCTGAGGCACAAAAGCTGCATTGCAAAAAAATGTCAGAAACGAAAAGGTGAAACGGTGATTAGTTGGAGTTAGAACGGAACCAGTTGGCGTTGGGAACGGCGCAGTAGCTTCTGAAGCGATCGATGAGAATGAGTGGTGAGCGTCCATTAGTGAGGTCTGTGAGCAAAACTCGAGTGAATTCTGGCAATGCAGAGAGAACAATTCTTCAACCGATACTCAAGGTGAATGTCAATAACAACTTATTCGGCTTTCGGAACTGAATTTCAATGCTTTTGTTACCTTTGATTTTCGTGAGAAATCCACTCTCTCTGTGACTCCATTCGTAACCTCTCCTCTTTCCCTCCATTTTTTCCCCCTGTTCTTAACCCTCCTCAAATTCTTATATACTTATATATATATATATAGATATATATATATATATAATATATATTATATATATATATATGAATCTGCTCGATTATCTAAACTAACTCTACTAATCAATCTCTATGCCGCTTTCCTCCCTTTGCGTTATGATGCTATACCTACTTATCTCATACACCTTTTCACTAAAGCTTCCTTTGACTTTCTTTCTTACTATACTAACTAAACCCCTTCCGACCCGACCCCTTAAACCCCTTCCTACTTTCCTTGACTGTCACCTGCGGGCCTTTTCTTTACCTCTTCCACGCCTTGAAACGCGACCGCCAATACTACGTTCGAAAACCCCTACCGCGTGGACCACATACACTGCGACTTTTTTGTTTTGTCCCTTTTGAAAATCAAACAAACAACTACTAAATAAATAAACCAGATATCTATTGGTTTATGAGTTATATTAGATCCACTTCAACACTGAATCAGAAGCTTTCAGAAGCCTTTTCCATACTCTCATCTCATCTCCTCCAGCAACAGTAAACCACTTCAAAGGTTAGAGCTTTCCTCGGAATAAATATGGTTACATTGTTGTTGGTTGTGATGGGTTTTGTTTGCTCTTCGATTCTTAGTCACCACGTGCCTTTCTTCTTCAAGCTCGGGTTCCTATTTCATTGGAATCGCCACTGCTTAATGGTTTCGTTTTCGTTCTCTTTTCGATGTTGATTAGTCATCTGTGATCTGTAAATTTTGCAAATGTTTTCTCTGTGAAGAGAGTGTTAGGTTGAACTTGAATTGTACTGTTTTTGTTTCTAGAAATGAGGAAATTTCATGCTCCTTGAAATGGACCGCAGGACAAGTCTTTCGCATGCACAACCTTAAAGTATTCATTGTTGCCCCAACTCAGATCACTAGGCTTTAGGTTGTGATATTGAACCATATTCAAAGGCTCTTGCAAGTTGTTATTTTTAAGGCATAAACTCCGATTTGTTTTTTGTAATTTTGGGTTACTGTTGCTGGCAACTGTTTTGGCTTACAGGGTTGCCCTTGGCCAGAGGAAAATACTTCCGAAGGTAAAATCCTTGAGATGAAATTGAATTTACTTCCAGAACCAAACTTCGTTGACTTTTTTATTTTGACAACTTAGTAGGAATGTTAAATATGATGAAGCTTGTATAGCTTTCATTAGAATTTGAAGTGTTTTGAATTGGACATTGAGAAATTAAGAGCTAAATAAGAAGTCCTTGTTCATTAGTTGTGTTTGTTCTAGGATTCTGTTTGGCATCTAAGGGCGTAATTTGCAAAGTTGAATCTTGAACATGATGTTGCTTGGTTGGACTGTCTTCAGCCGAATCGGTTCCTACATCATGACCAACAATAATGTAAAGGAGCCCTTGCTGTCAGGATCACTGAATGAGACTCAAAAAGCTAAACGGCTGTTAAACAAGAGAAGGTTACACCGCTCTAGAAGTGCTCCTAACACAGATCTTGTTCCTTCTGAGACACAATGCAAAGAAACAACTCATCCAAAAACATCCATATTTCAGAATTTACATCCAAATTATAAAAGAGTGGCTATCTACCTTGCAGTATATTTAGGTGTAGGTGCTTTAATCTTCTTTCTTGTCAGGGACCAGATCAAGGGGACGAAAACAGATGGAATTCTTGATGCTTTGTACTTTACAATTGTTACAATGACCACTGTTGGATATGGAGATTCTTGTGCAGATAGCCACCTAACAAAACTACTTGCATGTGCCCTTTGTTTCTCTGGATGGCATGATCGGATTGAATGTAAGCAACGCAGCAGATTCTTAGTTGAGAAACAGGAACTTTTGCTAGTTAAAGCTATGCACGTGCACCAAAAAGTTGATTCAACTGGAATATTAAGGGAGCTTGAGACCAATAAAACAAGATACAAACTTTTTGTAGTCTTTTTCCTCCTTTTGGTTCTCTTCACTGCAGGGACAATTTTTCTGGTGACTGTTGAGAAATTGGATGTTATCGATGCATTCTACTGTGTTTGTTCTACCATTACAACCCTTGGTTATGGGGACAAAAGCTTCTCAACTCAAGCAGGAAGAATATTTGCCGTGTTTTGGATATTGACAGGTACTATTACTTTGGCTCAGTTTTTCCTCTACATTGCTGAGCTAAACACTGAAATCAGACAAAAGGAGCTTGTGAAGTGGGTGCTTACAAGGAAAGTGACCAATTTAGATTTGGAGGCTGCTGATCTTGATGAGGATGGAACTGTTGGGTTAGTTAAGCATTCTTTGAAAGTCATATATTATTATATAATTGTTCTTACCGGATAATTGTTCTTGCCGAATTTGGCCGAACACTCTGAGATCCCAGTTAGTTTGGAGATTGTTCGGTCAAATTCGACAAGAACAATGTTTAATTATGAAAGCATGGTTTCATTAACTTTTATCCGTGTTTTTTTTCTCATAGGGCTGCTGAATTTGTATTTTAACACTGAAGAGATGGGAAGATTAGTCAAGAAGATATAGCACTTGTGCATTCATGAGTTTGAAACAGCTAGATGTTGATGATTCTGTCATTGTCACCTTCGTGATATAACCACTTGCTCACTCAACTTAGATTAACAATTACATTTTGGTACGTGTTAGTATTTTTTTTTTCTACTATCAACATTGTTGATCACGTTAATACCAAGCTGCTTATACATCTCATGTAAGCATATATATTATATTATTAGAAATATAAATTATATTATATTATGCTTAATTTTTTCTCAATATAAAGCTTTGAACTTTGCACTTCAGAAATCTTCTGTAGTGTTGCAATATATAATTCTTCAAGCTTATGATATGTAAATGAAATTTTTTAAATTTGGTGAAGACCCTAGTTGTCAACTAAACAATATAGCTAAATGATGATATATAAGTGAATTCAAAATTTAATTTTTGAAAACTAAAATATAGCTTTGATATAGGAGTGAATGCAATTTTTTCTTTTTTATAAAAAATAATTTTATTAAATAGAGTTCGAGTAAGTTATAAGTAAAATTTTATTTCAACTTTAATTTTGTTTAATATAACTAAATGTAGAATCCCACTACCATTACATAGCAAAAATTAAAGATATATTTTTTTAAATGAAATATATATATATATATATATATATATATATATATATATTATGTGTTTTCTTTCACTTTTCACAAATATGTATTTTTGTAAAAAAACAAAAATCTGTAGAAGTAATTCTTCTCCTTTATACATATACATTAATAGAACACAGATAATGAGTCGTAAAATATGTCAGTGAGAAGTTTGAGCGAATTAATCTAATTAGTACAACAGTTAAATACTAATTATGTAAATTAATTAACACAAACGAATATTTTAAATAAGTTATGCCTCTGTTTATTATAGTTGAGTTTTAAGTTTTGAAATTTTAAAAAACTAAAATTTCCTTTGAGCTTTTAATTTTCCACTTTAGTCTTTCTTCTTTTTTTTTTCAACTTTTAAATTTTAGCACCAAATATTACATACTACTTTTCATTGGCATGACGATTTTGTAACAACACTTCTCCCTCCGCTTCTCCAACCTTCTGCAAAAAAAATTTAATTACAAAAATAATATTTTTTACTTTTAACCCTATTTATTTATTTTAAACTCAAACACTATCTTTCTATTCATTTTTATTTTTCACTCATCCCCACCTTTCAACTCTTCTTTTCTCTTTTTTTAGATTCTCACCCCTATCACCATCATATCTATTTGTTTTTATATAATTATAAAATTGTTAAAGAATAAAAAACCATATATAAAATATATATATTATACAAAAACATTAAAACAAAAAACAAATTATATATAACTGCAAAATACAAAAAAATATAAAAATAAACTAATAACAATAAAGATCTTCAAAAATACATTATTAAAATACATCAAAAATATATTCAAAAATAATACATCAAAACATATAAATTACATTATTAAAATATCTCCAAAATTAATATAAAAAATAAACTAAAAAAAATAAACATGTAACTTTAAACGGATGTAAGCATAGGTCAACGATCGTTTGACATCCGCTGAGGGATGCTCACATTCGTTTAAAGATTATAAGTTTACTTTTTTAAGATTTATTACGCATGACGAATCCTTCAAGCACCACCACACCACCATCACACACCGATCTTGGCATAGCTGATCAGTTGTTTGCACCACCACTTGTAATCTCTCACTAAACACACCAGCTAATGGAAGTCCACCACACTCTGAGACCATAATTCTATCACAATTAAAGAATGAAAAGAATAAGTGGAACGTGAAAAAGAGGAAGAAGAACACAATGAAACAATGAGGGGACGAACTATAAAGAGGAAAAAGAGTTACCGCTGCATACATGTAGATGATTAGAGTGGGTAGAGGTTAAAAAATATTAACCCTAAAATTTTACTAATGGTAAAATAAGAATGGGAAAATAAAGAGAGAAATAAAACATGAATAAGGTAGTGGGAGCAACACCCATTTTATAATTAGGTTAAAAAGAAGAGACTACAATCTAACTCATCTCATTCATATAAGAAGTTTATTGACAATTATTCCTCCTTTTGTTAAATTTTATGGTTTAATAATCTCAATAATTTATACATTTAAAATTTTATTTTATCGATAATCTATTATATATATATATATATAATGATTATTACATGTATATTAATATGATATTTTTTTATCATATTTAGTTTAATAATTTAAAATTTAGTTTCAGTTTTCATATTAAAAAAGAATAAAAATTATATTTTTTTATAAAATTAAATGACACATCCGTTCAACTCGTCTACATGTAATAAGTTAAGTGAAATTTAATTTTTGAAATCGAATAACAAATGTACCAAATTGAATTTGGCTACTAAATCATTAAATAATATTGATTTAGTTTAATGCGCTGTAAACTTCTGACAAACAAACTGGGCCATTTTTTTTCAAATTATCATAAACAATTTATCTGAATAATTTATTTCAAATTGCAAATTTAAACTTCATATCAATGTCCAAGAAAAAATAAATTAAAATTAGAAAATTTAAACATGTATGCTTAAAGTTACAGGTCATAACAGAGAAAATAAAAATACGTTAAAGTAGTGTGGGTATTATCAACATATACTCGCAGGGCAGTTTTCTTCCTTCACCGTCAGGAAAATCTAAAAACACTGCCACTCCGTTCTTCACCTTATCCCGTTTTTTCTGCAGAAACAATTTTCAAAACAAGAGAGAGAGTTACAGCGCTAATTGAAACGACCCAACCGTTAAATGGCCCATTAACACATAATTATTCTTAAAAACCACAAAACATAATTCATACGAAACAAACACCTTTTAGCAGTTTGCCATGAAAGACTGTCTCTTTTCTTCAATTAACCGACATTTGAATACTTTGAAAGAAGAAAATAGATGGGTGCTAGATAATGACCTAACCTTGATTAGTCAGACTTGTGGCGAGTGTCGGAGGGCAGATCATGGTGGCCGTCGACGTAATCGAGGAGGCCTTGGCCGGCGCTGTAGAGGGAAGTGGCGTCGGATGGGGGCAAATGGGAAGTCCTAGCAATGAAGAAGACAAGGGCAAAGACTAGGGCAGTGGAGAGGAAAAGTGGCCAGAAATAGGCCAAGAGAGTGAGGAATCTTGGAGCCATGATTGTGAGAGAGAAGATGGTGAGACAGAAGAGAAGTGCCCCGAGAAAATGGTATCTGAACTTGAACAACTTCTCTTGGACCTCCATGGGAACGATGGCAAGGTCGGCAGAGAGAGAATCTCTCAGACAAAAGTGTTTCTTTGCTTGATTTTTCGGAATTTCAACTGAGGAGGAGGGACACACTATTTTCATTCCAAATCACGTTTTTTATCTTGATAACGATTCCGAGATGATCATAAAATAAATTTTTGTACTTCAAAACAATAATACTAAATATAAAATGTTTATATATTTCAAAATATCATTTTTGTTTATCCTTCAATTTGTTAGGTTATCAAAATATACATTGATTACACTTTTAAAATACACTTATGACGTTAATTTTTATATTTTAAAATATATTAAAAAATTTAATATACTAATATCCGTATTTTTTTAGTGCTCGAAAAATGGGAAGGTGTAGGAGCAATTTTGGGGGAGTGTCATTGTAAATGGGCCAGGAGAAAATGGAGGTCCAAGCATGAGAGAAAGCCCGATAACTTTGATTTTTGTTTATGGTGTTGGAAATGGCGGTTGTGGAGCAGAGAAACAGAGGGTGGAAAGGAAAAATGGCGCCGGTGGCAGCGAGAAGCGCGGGCGCCGTGGGTGTTGGTGTCGCAATCTTCATCTCAGTCGCTCTCACAACCTATTTAATCTGTGACCGCCGCTCCAAGAAGAAGAACATATCAAGGAAGAATGGGGTCGTGGAGGCCATCGGTAACACCCCTCTCATTCGGATCAACAGCCTCTCCGACGCCACTGGTTGTCAAGTAACTGTCTATCTCTGCTCATCTCCTATCTTTACGAATTCATTTCGCTAACCACCAATTTCTCCTCAGATTCTCGGCAAGTGCGAGTTCTTGAATCCCGGAGGCAGTGTCAAGGACCGTGTTGCTCTTCAAATAATTCAAGAGGTTAATTCAAAGTAGTTTCAATCATTCGCGTGTGCTGTTACTCACTGTTTTTCATACAATTATCAAAGCTTCGGTTCATCCTATCGATGTCTCACTATTCTCTACTTATTTATTTATTTATCCTTTTGTTTTCGTTGGGGATGAATGTCAATTTTGTCACACTGTTCATTCATTCTCAATCTGATTACATATACGTATCAGCCTGAAGATTTTCTCTATGGTTGATTGCGCAGGCTCTGGAATCTGGCCAGCTACGTCCAGGTGGAATAGTCACTGAAGGGAGTGCTGGAAGTACTGCCATTAGCATTGCTACTGTTGCTCCTGCCTATGGGTGCAAGACCCACGTGGTTATACCAGATGATGCTGCCATTGAGAAGGTATTTTATAATTATTGTAATGTAATCCACCAAGTCTGCTAATCAATCTCGTCCTAAACTTAGAAGGTTTGACCATTTTTTCCCGTTTAGAAGAACTTGTGTACAGCTTATTTGGAGAGCTTGTGATATGTCTATATGTTGTTTTCTTCTTTCAATAAGCTGTGCAGGATTTCTTGTGAAAACAGCTTATAGCGTATAAGAAATCCGTTTAATCTTAATTTCCTTTTAATTATATAAACAACTTATACGTAAGTACTTGTTGAATATCAACTTAGGTTCTCGGAGACTACCACGCATCTATAGTCTTGGTGAATCTCTACATGACACATCATCAAATTTTTCACTGTGTAAAAATGAGTTAATAAGGCTTGAATGCATGTTATGTGGTGATTAGTCGCATACCTTCTAATAATTTCTTGTAAGGATTTTGTATCTGATTGATGATTGTCTTGCATGGATCAATCTTCAGTCTCAAATACTTGAAGCCCTTGGGGCAACTGTTGAAAGAGTGCGACCAGTGTCCATTACTCACAAAGACCATTTTGTAAATATCGCAAGAAGACGGGCATCTGAAGCAAATGAGTTTGCGCTGAAACAGAGAAATTTACAACTGAATGACAAGGACACTGCGAAAATAAATGGTTATGAATCTGATGGATACCATTATAGCTCTCTGTTTCCTAGTGACTGCCAAGGTGGGTTTTTTGCAGATCAGTTTGAAAACTTAGCGAACTTCAGGGCCCATTACCAGGGTACAGGGCCTGAGATTTGGGAACAGACCAATGGAAAGTTAGACGCATTTGTTGCAGCAGCAGGCACTGGTGGCACTGTGGCTGGTGTTTCTACGTTTCTTCAGGTTTGACCACAGCACACTTTCCTCCACTTTTTAGATTCCATTTTGGGTGTGAAAGTTGTCTGATATATTTCTTGTCTCATGTTAAACAGGAAAAGAATCCAGAAATCAAATGCTTCCTCGTAGATCCTCCAGGTTCTGGTTTGTATAATAAGGTAACTCGGGGAGTGATGTACACCAAAGAGGAGGCTGAAGGAAAAAGACTTAAGAATCCATTTGACACTATAACAGAAGGAATTGGAATTAACAGGATAACAAAGAATTTTGCGATGGCAAAACTTAATGGCGCCTTTAGAGGCACCGATAGGGAGGCTGTTGAAATGGCTAGGTTGTTACTTACTCTGTTGTTGGCTTCCCACTTTTCATTTGTTTGTTCTTTTACTTTCTGTATCTCAACCAGAAGAATGATTACATGAAATGATGCATGTATCAGGTTTCTTTTGAAGAACGATGGGCTCTTCCTCGGGAGTTCATCTGCAATGAACTGTGTCGGAGCAGTTAGAGTGGCACAGGCAATTGGCCCTGGCCATACCATTGTGACCATACTCTGCGATAGTGGAATGAGACATTTGAGCAAGTTCTGTAATGTTGAATACTTGTCTGAGCTGGGTTTGACACCGAAAGCCGCTGGATTGGAGTTCTTGGGCATCGAATGAATAGGTTTCCTCAGAGTTTTGAATTTTTAATGCCACTGGGTAAGTGCTTAACGCCTGCCTCGGATGGCAGTGACCACTTAGAAGTTAGAAGTGAGGATATTTTGGTGATTGATATAGATAGTTAGAACTGGGGGTTTGACTGGGGGAGATATGTCATTCGTTGGCACACTTGTTTGTAATTAGAAGTCTCCAAACTTTTGTAAACTCTATCGTGATGACAAGGTATTCAAAGTGAGGACTGTTAATTTCTTTTATCAGTTATACTTACTATTTCTCCCATGAGTTGGATTCAGAATCTAATATGACTATTGATTTATCCATATCTCTCTTTCCAATAATAAATCTGGTTGGCCAGTGTATTAAGGAAATTCATTAGCACCTTAATATTTTTATTTGGTCTGCATTAATAGGCGATATTTAGATCAAGATGTCAAGTCCATTCCCACAAATAGCTACAGTTTACTGTGCGGCACAAGATCTTTATTATCAATCGACTAAGAGTGTGATTGGATTACAGTTCCATCCATCTCAACCTTCTAAGTGAGTGTTTGGACTACATCTTCTGAGTGTGTTTGGATTGCAATGCCATTCAACTCAACCTTCGTACAATAAATTGAAAAGTACAAAACTTCTCTTCAACATCACCCTACCACATTTCCAAACAAGCCCTAAGTGATAAATTTATTATCATGGTACATAACCTCCCAAATTGGGAGTCTCGAGAGAAACATCAAACTGTATAACAAAAGGTGCTAAAGTGGACAATCTCCAAGAAAAAATAGTCCAAAGACACCAAAATCTCCAATGCATTACCTTCTCTCAAACTGAGCTTCTTGGCAATGTGGATCTAACCAGTCTTTGGGGGATCCCTTTACCAAGTTCACACTGCCCCCACCCACAAGCTCCCTCAAATTATCCACCTTGTTCTCCCTACCCATCCCACCATTTCTCTTGTCAGCTTCTTTCAGCTTCTGCTTCAGCCTCTGCTTCCGGTTAGACGAATTTAGCTCTTGCTGTTTTGCTAGTGAAGGAGGTGCTCCGTGTGGGCCCAGATAGATGTTCTCTTCCTTCTTAGCCTACAACAAACTAAGGTAGTTAGCATTCAGATTTTCTACGCAACCAGCATCATCAAAGTCTAAAACCAGCAAATTATAGTCTCCAATAAGAATATTTTCTTTAGCTAACCTTTGATGCAGAATTCGAAGATTCTACAGTAGAAACATGAGGTTTACTTTGATCAGAGTCTTCAATTCCCAAACTTGGAATCACAAATCCATCAGTGTCTACGACAAAAAATAGTCCACCCATTAAAAATCAAACGCATTTTTTACCCGAAGAAGTTAAATGTTAAGATGCATACATCTCAGAGGAAAGAAATAACTATTCCATAGTTAGTGGGTAAGAATCTCCCAAGACAGTCACAGAGTAGTTCATTTTCATTGCAAACGTACAGCACAATAAATCACAAAACTTAAAAACATTCATCCGCAAGAATAAACATAAAGAACATTCAATAATAAACCTAATTCAGTGCTAAAATTCTCTGTATGCTAGGACATGATTTCAACCCAAACTAAATTCTCCATAGTTAGTGTAAAAATAAATAAACAGCATAAAAAATTGAATCAGCAGGATATCAAATTAAGATGGACCTATAAGCATTCCAGACGGATATGCTCCTAAGATAAGCATCGAGCGCCACAGGCAATGGCCCCAGAGAGAAAAAAAATCAGAAAAGATGACAACCCCGCAAACTAGAACAGCAAATTAATCAACAACAATAATAATAACCAATCCAATTTCAAAATTTTTGCGTTGTGATTCAAATAAGATCCATATAGATGCAATATATCAATAAGATTCAATCTGAAACTAACGCAGAATCAAATCATCATTGCAGTCTTCAACAATCTAAAAACGCCCCATTTACAAATCCATCAGTAAAACCCCACCCCTCGAAAGAAAATAAGAAAACACACAACACAAAACAACCTCAAAAGATCCCTTTTTTCTACCCTCGTTCTTTGTTCCCGGTGGTGTCATCCAGAACCAGAAAAGACAAAAGTTGAAGGGAAAACAATGGCATACCCCACTCGTCTTCTTGTTGTTGAATCTGAGGAGAGGGGTCCATCGTAAACTGACGACCATGGATTTGAACGCGAGCTGGGCGATGAAGCCCGGTTGAAGAGAGAACACCCAAAATTTCACCAACACAAATCTCGAGAAAGAATATTACGTTAATAATCAATCGATCGAGTGTTTGAAGATGCTTTCTTTGTGGAGGAAATTGAGAGGGCAATTAAACCCCAACTCTAGGGTTTCACTGTGCGCGTTCGGTCGCGTGCCTGAATTACCCCTTTGATTTGGGGCAAAATAGTGTAGAGATTGGACTGAAGTTCTCCACTGCTAAAGGGTAGTTTTGTCATTGACAATCTCGAATGGGATTCTTCAGAGCATATGCTTGTTTTTTTTTCCTTTTTTGGTAGGTGATTGACAATTTATTAAAGAAAAGATTCGCAAAAATTATTTATCAGGTCATTTTTATAAAAGCTGTCCTTCTTGTATTTTAATTCCTAATCAATATTCCATTAGCAATATTCAAATGAAAAAAATTATTCATTATAACTAATATAATATTTTCCTTTTCACACATTTTTATATTATTCTCTCATTTCCATGACCAATATATTTGTGTTACAACTCCTTCCAATTTATTAAAAAGGATAATCTTATCACATAATTTGAAATATAATTCTGCATAATGAAATTTAAAATATCAATTTAATATATTCCAACTTGGAATACAACCAATTCTAAATTATCATTATTTTTACTTTCAATGTTATTCAATCATTCATGTTATAAAGTCAGTGTGAAACTAATAGAGAGTGGTTCGTTTTAATTGAACATATGATAACATACATTTCAAATTAAAATGAACTTGATAGTAATTTAAACACTTATCTCAACTATATATTAGAATTAAAAACTAATTACACTCAATTTACTTTAAGGCATACTATAATGATGATACAATAAAAAATATTATTAAACAAATGATGAAAAGTGATAGACTTTTAAAAATGTCAAGAACAATAATCATTGAGGAGAAGGCATAATAATCCACAAGATTTTCCACCAAAACACAATCAAATAAAGGTCACGATAAAGCATTTGATCAATGCGATGGATGTCTTTTTGTGAATGGCCTCTGTTTCCATGTCTTTCTTGTCTGTTGTTCTTCATTTTCTATAGCATCATTTCTGCGTTGGCACGAGCAAATGATTATGAGAGGGATTAAGGCTAAGAATTGTATAGAACAATGCAGAAAAGGGTGAAAAAGCTGACAGGTGCATTTCACGTTTATGATATTGTTTGATTACGCTAAATATTTTAGGAGTTGAAATTAGAAATAATTTAAATATTTTTTTAATCTTTTAAATAATTTATATAGAGTGGAACAGGAAAGGAATGGAGAGTAGCTGAGAATGTTATGGATATCTTCCATAATGGGGCCTCCACTCCATTAAAGTCTGCATGAGCATGACATGCAGAAGCAGAAAAGGACTTTGAGGACAATTACTTTTGTATGTATAATGAACCTAGGTAATAATAGTAGAAAATGGATTATTCATTAATTAAACAACATTGCTGATTGCTTATTTAATGTGTCTTAGTTTATTAAGAATTGTAGTTGTGTTTGCTGGGGAGTTTAGTCAACCTATACTCAAATTTCATTCCATTGGAGCAAAAAATTATTTCGAATGTAGGATCCACGATTTTCACAAAACACTTCTTCACACTTTATTCTAAATTTGTTTAGATATTTTTGATGCTCAAGTAAGTGATTATTCCAATTATAAAAAAATCTTAAATTCGTAATAAATTGTATTACCTGCCTTATTACCTTTAACCTTTATTTATAAGTTTCGAGATGAGTCTTAGATTAGTGAAACCCTAATCATGACCCAATCCTAACCTATTACCTACTAAGTAACACTTATCAGTAGTAATATTGATTAGAAACAATGTTTAGGGTGTTGGGTCGACCGTATGCCCGTCCATAATTCTTTATTCATGGTCGTACGATCGATTAACAAGCATAGTTCACTTATCTCGATTTGACTGTTCATTGTGGTGTTGACTACAACCTATTTGAACCGGTCACCACTTTTCGATGATTTTACCTAGTCGGGTTCTCTATGTGACCATATGATTATACGGTACAAATATGAATTTTATTTAGAAGTTCACTGAAAACATATAACACTAATGTGAGTCCAATAAAAATTAAGAGTATTTTCAATCCAAAATCATAAAGTAATAGATTAATAGACTTTTTATTTTTATTTTTATATTTACATGATGTTCTATTTTTTTATTTTTACCGGACTTAGAGTCATACTTAAATTCTGAACATTTGCTTGATGCAAGTGATGGAAATGTAGTACGGAAAAGTGTCTTATGGGAAAGTGTCTCAAGAAAGGAACTCCCGTAAAGAAGTGTTGTTTGGAGAAATCTGTAGTTTCCTGAATCGGTGTGTTGGGTTTCTGCAAATGGGTTTTGTTTGGTTGCGAGTGAAACAGAGGGAGAAGCAAGGTCCTTGTTGAGCACATTATCCATTGATTTGATAAAATTGTTTTCTTGGGTCAGGTATCTAGCCATGTGTGCTGGCACATGCATCGACAAGTCCAAGGCTTTGAGGTTGTAAATATTCTCGGGAAACAGACAGCTTTGCTATCTCCAAGAGAATCACATGCAGATAATGAATAATAAAAGGTTCCATGCCAGAGAAAAATAGAACAAACAATATGCTTTCAAGTTGGATTCCTTGCTAGCAGAGTTGCCTGCAGTGCAAAGGAACTTGATCTTCCAAGAATCAGACATCACCCTTATCAGGTTTGATGAAACATGCTCAAAACTTCAAAGAACTTGTTTTCTTTGGGGTTCTGGTCATCATCTTACAATTACAAGTCTTGTTTGACATTGAAAACCTAAAAATTTCCCTCCTTTTCTTCTTGTTTGACATTTTAGCAACTGATTAAAAAATAGAAAGTAGGGCACTTGGAGAAAGTTATTTACTAATAGCTTAAAGGGCTCTCATGGCACCCCAAATTCCTTTATATCATGTTGAAACTTATCTCTAACTTTGCTCTCAAAGTCTGTATTTTAAGCAATACAGATTGAAAAAATTTCTGCTTCTTTCTTTTAGTCTTTTCCAAAGACCTTCTCCTTATTAACAAGAAGTATATATTCTTGCAGCCTTTTCATTTGGTTTGGATTTTACACAAGAAGTATATTTCTAGCTAATGATCATGGTGAAAGTAACAAATAAACAGATCTGTCACAAGCTGTGTTCAAATTTTGGCAGTTTATTATCACCGATCGTTCTGGTTCTTGTCCTTCTGTTTTCAATTTTCATTTTCTTTTCAGTTTCTGAATCCTCTCCTTCCCTTCTTACCCTGCTGATTGTTCTTCTATCTACCATGTTTCTTGTCACAATGACAAAGAAAAAAGGGTCCTTACATGAAAATCTCGTCCAAGATAATCAGAAGAAATTGGAAATACAGCCTTCATTAGAAGATATTACTACCCAACAAAATGAAACTTCTCAGAGCCAAGTTCAAGCACAGTCAGAATCCTCGTTTCCATTAGATTGTGAAAGCGGGAACATCACTGATAAAGGTTTTGAAGTCAGTGTTGAGAAGTATGAGCAACAAGCTGATCCAAAGTCAGATACTGAAAGCAACAGCAGCTCAACCATGAGTGGAGAAAGTTCTGAGATTCATCACAGTAGAAATAAAAATCTTGATATATCTGATAACTTGGCTATTTATAGTGATGATTGTGATGATTATGATGAGGAGGAGGATGGCTTGATTGAAATCAAACTTCCAAACAATCACTTTTCAGAGTTCTGGCCAGAATGCTTTTTCAAACAGCAACGTTTCACAGAGCTCTTGGAAGAAATTGATGAGATGAATGAGGATGAAAACTTAATTGAGATTGATATCTCAAAGGGATCCACAAAACACCAAGATTTGAGATTGGAGAAGGAGTTTTCTTGAACTTTAGCATGATTTTGTTCTCTTTTATTAACTTGGCCTATTAATCTTTAGTTTCATTTTTACAATGATGTGTTATAGCAGTTTTGTCACATTAGATAGCATAATATGATTATGTTTTGTTTGAATGCTACAAGTTGCAAGATGAAGGTAAAGGCTTTTTTGCTAAACAATTCTCAGTTTTCATAAGTTGTTGGATAAATATTTGGGAAATATACAATACAAAAGAAGAAGGTCAGTCGTGTGTAAATTATTGTTTTAAGATATAAAAACTTGTATTTTATTCTGACATTTTAAAAGTGTATAAAATAATGCAGCTAATTAATTAGAAATAAGCCGATATCTTAGAAATTAATTAGAGATTACATATGAAACTATTATATATATATATATATATATATATATATATTAATTAGTAGATTAAAAATCTAATTCAATAAAGTTTGTATTCACTTTTATATTTTAAATTGATTTTATCGATTAAATTAATTTTATCTTAAGTCGACGTAAAACTCTTAATAATATATTTCTTAAAAATATTAGTAATCGAAATACACGCTTTTAGTATAAGAACTATATCAATAAATACTAATATTGGATTAAAGAATAATCTTTAGAGTATCTGATTATATTTTTATAAAGGATTCTATAGCATAGTACATAACCATTGGAAAGAATATGGTTAGGATATGCTGATTTTAGTATGTTTAATTATATATAACTTAAGTTTATAAAATTAATTTGTGAAGTGAAATTGGTTTCTCACTATTATCAACATTAAAACTAACAATGATAATACATGGAGTGAGTGCATATTTGATTATCTTATCTCTATTTTTGAAATAAAAATTTCATCCAGATTTTGATCTCATTTTATTTTTGTTGGATAAGAGCTATACTCTTAAACCTTCAAATATTAATTAATTAATTTATTTACTAAAATTGTAAAAATCACAACAAGAGAATGTGTTGTTATCAATGATTAAATATTAAGAGGATCGCGTTGTGAATTTACATAATTGAACACGTGAAAATATAAGTAAAAAATAAATAATAAATAAAAATATTTTTAAAAAATAAATAATCAATGTATGACTAAAAATGATTTAATTTAAGAAAATTGAGATTTGTGTTATATGCAAATGAAGATGTGTAATCAAATTGTACTAAAAAAAAATTTATAGAAAAAATACAAAATTATTGTGTGGCACAAAAAAAGAAAGGTTTAATTTCTAATTTGATAATTTAATTTCATTCAAATTTTTAAAAAGAACACTGGTTATTAATTTTTTCAATTTAATTCTTTATAAAAACATCAAACTTGTTCATTTTTTTTAATTTGGTTGGTGATTGCTTTCTTGCTTGAGCATGAATGGTGATCTAAGAAACATAAACCCACGATTAATGGAATGGAATTAAAGGATCAAGAACAATCAAAATGAATGTCTTTAAAAAACTAAATGACTAAATTTGATGTTTTAAAATAACTAAACAACAAAATTTGATGTTTTTAAAAATATAAAGGACTAAATTAAAAAAACCAATAATTATGAAGATTTTTTGAAAATTGAAATAAAATTAGAGGACCGTGTTAAAAATTAATTAAGTTAAAAATAAATAAATGATTTTCAAAGAGAATGAAATTAAGGACTAGAGACATTTGAAAATAAATTGGTTAGGTTACCAAATATAACAATGCATGAGAAAATAAAAGAGACGAACAAATAATAGGAAACAAAAGGTAAAAGACGTGACATTAAAGGAATGATGCATTGGTGGGTGACAAATGCAAAGTCACCATTAAGTATAACTAAACTATTGCCATCCATTTCCTTAAAGCCCTTTGTCGCTCTATCATTTAACTATTACTCATTATTTGCAACCTCATGCAAGACCTTTTACCTACTGTATCTTTCAAGGTTATTATTGGAAATTTTCCTATTTATTATTTTTGTATCTTTTTTTTATCTTTTAGAAACTTACATAAAATCTTTTTTTTTTACTTTTAATAACATTAGAAAAATCATGTACTATCTACTTTAGGAATCCATGGCATTAGTCATTGCAAATATAATAATTTTGTAATGATTATAATATCCCACATTTGTAAATATAAAGCTAAATAAAAAAAATGTTTGAGTTTTAGGTATTGAAAAAACATGGGAGAAACGTGGTTTAATGGGAATATGACAATGATTTGGGAATGTATGTCTTATATTCTGAGTTTAGATAGATATTTGGAAAATCTAATTTTGCTTCCAAAGGAAGAAAACTATTACTCTTTACCTAACAACTAATTATTCACCTTCTAATAATTTATTATGCTACTTTCCTTGTGGACACTCACACTACAATGAATGCAAAATTATAATTAATTACAAATTTTTTAATCTTAAAATTAATAATTATTTGTTTGCAAAATTATAAAAGAAAATTAAATAACATTAGAAATTTTTTTATTCGTACTCTTTTATATAAGATACTCTTTTATATTTTTTCGTTCCTCAAATTGGAAGAATAGGGTCGAATATTTTATTATTTTGGTATAACAAAACCTTTTTTTTATTTACTCTTTTATCCTTTTTTTTAACAGCGTGAAACGGCATCGAGATCATGGATAAAAGTTTTGAAGTCAGTGTGCTGAGTGGGCGATTAGACAGTCCAAGTCAGAGTGGAACATGTAGCGGATACGAAACCAACGGTCCAGATCGTTGCTCCATCGTCAAATCCAACGGTCAAAAAGCCCTCCGTGCAAGCACACACTTATCGACTAACAACGGTGAAGAAGGGTCCACGTGTCCAGCAGATAGAGGCTTATTAAGCCTCTGATCCAACGGACCCTGCTCATTCCATTCTTCCATTTTCTCTTCACTCTCTCGCTGGAAGTCAACTGAAGGCAGAGTAGAGTGTTGAATTTGTGAGCCTTCGGAATCCGCGCTGAGTCCATGGCTGACTCGGACAACGACTCGGGAGGAGCGCAGAACGCGGGGAACAGCGGCTTCAGTGAGTTATCGCCTCGGGAACAGGACCGCTTCCTTCCAATCGCCAACGTAAGCAGGATCATGAAAAAGGCTCTGCCGGCGAACGCCAAGATCTCCAAGGACGCCAAAGAGACCGTGCAGGAATGCGTGTCGGAGTTCATAAGTTTCATAACCGGCGAAGCTTCCGACAAGTGCCAGCGCGAGAAGCGCAAGACAATCAACGGCGATGACCTTCTGTGGGCCATGACCACCTTAGGATTCGAGGACTACGTGGAGCCTCTCAAAATTTACCTCCAGCGCTTCCGCGAGATCGAGGGAGAGAAGACCGTCGCCGCACGCGACAAGGACGCCGCCGCCTCCTCCTCCGTGAGCGGCTACGACTACTCCCCGTCCTCCGCCGCCGCCATGATGCATCATCCGGGACACGTCTACGGGTCCCCCGCGTTCCATCAAGTGAGTGCCGCTCCCGTTATGGGTAAGCCTGGACCTGGGCCTGGGCCTGGGCCCAATTATCCTGCCCCTGGTAGACCCAGATAATAGATACACACATAAATCTACGTGGTCCTCCATTTGCCACTCCTTTTTCTTATTTCTATATTAATTTTGAAATCATAAAACGGCATATGCATGACTCATCATCATAACAAAGACTAATGCTTCATTAATTAATTATTTAATTAAACTGTGAAGTGAAGAAAATTGAAGGAATTTTTGATTTGGGTTGTGCACGCACTCTGTAAAGTTAAGACAGTGACGAGTGGGTGGGTTAGTGATGTTACTGTTACTGTTTCTATCACCTATAGTGCTTCTTAAATATTTTCTTATTTATTTATTTTTGTACCATATGTAATGTATTTTCACTATTTCTTATTTATCATTGTTTATTTACATCCGATGCAATTTCTCAAACATCCCTTTTTCTTCTCCCATCCCCCAATCCAAATCATCTCTACGTAAACAACAAAACATACTAAACTCATCACTGTTTGCTCAATGATTTCCATCTTCAATGCCAAATTCAAACCACAATTCTCACAAAATATCTGCTATAATGAAAAATGGCACTTTTACTTTATGTCCACCTTTGTTTTGCTTCTTCCATTATTTTCTTTCTGCCTTACTTTTGGTCAGCGTTTTCTAGTGAAGTTGTCGTCGGTTTGTTACGAGCCCAGAAAGCCCAAATCTACACCTGAAAGCCCAAATCATGCGTTTATTAGCATTTTCTTCAGTTAATCAACCTTTCATCAAATATTTTGGAACGTTTATAAACAGATCCAATTCAATAAAAGTTGAAAAAAAAGAAACATTTTATAATATTAGTAATGTTTTTATGAATATTTGGAAAATTATAATATACAACTTGAATCTAAATATGAAAAAAATAATAACTGAAGTTATATATTTTTTATCATTTGTTTGAATTAAAATACGTAAATATAATTATTAAATTTTGTAGATTTATACTATTGGTTTTATTTTATTAAAGCACCATGTCTTTTATCAAAGACTAATATCAAAAAATAAGAACATTATTGATTTAAAGCACATTGGAGAATACTTAAGTTAAAACAGTTGTGTTCTTTGATTATGAGAATTAGCGTTTTATTAATAAGAAAAAAGTTACAAATTGTTTTTATTTTTCAAATCATAGAATGTTTTAGTTAAAAAGATAAAAAACTAAAAAATTACACAAATAATCAATAAAAATTATAAGAATAATAACTATAAGTTTACAAAGATAAAAATATGTCAATAATAACACTAAAAAGGATTGTTGGTCCATGATCAATATGTAATAAAGCTTATAGTTTTGAATATTCAATCTCATCCCATTTATAACTCTAGAATCAAATTTTTAACTGACTGATTGATATTGAAACAATTTGCTACATATTTTATCATTTATTTGTTTAATGTTCTTTTCAAAAAGTAAAGATTAAACCGAAAACGATCTGATACGAAGTGTTTCAAATTAAATGGATGGAAAGACGAATTAAGAAAATCAAAGTAATTGTGTGGACAATTCTTTTATTCAAAATCAATTCAATCTAATATGCAAACAGCCATAATTAGAGTATAATTTTTTGTTTATTTGCATTTTTATTTTATTTTTGAATGTCACCATTCTTATTAATTCTCATTTGGTTAAAATCAGACAAAAAAGCTATAGTATTTATAACGTAATGGAATTTTCTTGGTATTTAAATCATTCTAAAATGGGAAAATTGTAATTGATGAATATTTTACGAAAAAATCTTCTTACAATAATATAAAAATATTTTATAAATACAAGTTGATTTCAGGTTTAAGGTTTATTGTACAAAAAATTCTATTATTGTACCAAAGAGATAAGATATTTATAATTTTTTTCACGAACTCAAGCCAAAGATATTTTTGAAATGTTGTTGAAATAAGAAAGATTGTGAGATGTTATGTAACCTTGTCCATCTTCTTCTCACACCTCATCTTCTATACCCATTTGGCATCACAGTATCTAAAATCGAATCTTTGGTCGGAACATGGCCACCTCCACCTTCCTCTGCCCCGTAGCTTCTAGCTTCTCACAAAAACCACTTCAATCCACCTTTCTGCATTCCTCCGTCAACCCCTCTTTTCTCACACTCAACATTCTTCCAAAGAAATTGAGAAAACCCCATCAACTGAGAAGCCTTATAGTGGCCAAATCCAATGGCAGTGATTCTGCCGATGTTCCTGACCGTTTAATTTCCGCACTCTGTTACTTTTATCCTTTCTTCGATGGCATACAGTATGGAAAGTATGTAATCACTCAGTTCTACCCTGTTCAGGCCATTATTCAACCACTGGTCCCTGCAATAAGAGTTTTCAAGAGCTTCCCCTTTAATGGGTTTCTAGTGTTTTTGACCCTTTATTTTGTTGTGGTGAGAAACCCCAATTTCAGTAGGTATGTGAGGTTCAACACTATGCAAGCCATTGTTCTTGATGTGCTGTTGATTTTCCCTGACCTCTTGGAAAGAGGGTTTAATCCCAGGGATGGGTTGGGGTTGGATTTGATGATGAGTTTGGATAGCACCGTCTTCTTTTTCCTCTTGGTGTGCTTGATTTATGGTTCTTCTTCGTGTTTGGTGGGTCAAATCCCCAGATTACCCATTGTTGCTGAGGCAGCTGACAGGCAGGTTCTTTGAATCACCAACCCATTATTCATAATTTACTTGTATAGCAAAGCAACTTAAGCCTAGGCAGCGGAGAAGTTTGCTTTTTCACTTCCTAAATAGCTATCCTAGAAACCTTCTGCGACACGAATTTTAGTTGTTTGTTACATTTCTGGATTCTAGTATGTCTTTCTAAATCGGGATTGGATTATTGCAAGACGATGAGAAGCTTCCCTTTCTACATTTTAATTGAATTCAATGTTATTTCTCTCTGGATTTACTGAATGTTTATGGATTTTCAGCTTTCACGTTTCTCGCACACAAAGACACATTAACTTCTTAGTTCTTACATTGTTAGGTTTTAGTTTGAACTATCTGAGAGTTCAGACTTCAGAGTAGTGTTTTTTTACAATGGTTATGCACAAGGGTGGAAGAGGCACAGATAAAGGTACTCTGATAATGTTAGAATATTTTTCTGTACATATTTTTTGTATATCCATTTGATAAGCTTTTCTACATATGATGGAGGCAAGGCAACCCAAAGAAATTGTTTGCTGCATACATAAATAGCAATGCAGCATGCAGCTGTGGATGGTATTAAACTATTAATGCCAATTTTCTCTGATTTTTGGTTAAAGCTTGACCAAATTGTTATGTTGCTGTTATTTGAAAAGTTAGTAAATATTGAACTACGCAGATCCCTATACTAGATCTCAATACATTTCATGAGTTTCTCACCTCTGTTTGATAAAGGATAATCTGTGAGACAATTTTTGGATTTTACCCATCCTCTTCTATCTTTTATAGCTAAAACACATGTAGAAAGGTCATGATGGAGTGTGAGCCCGACTTGAATGTGAAAGTGGTAAGAATTCCTTAATTATTTATGACAAGACTTGGTTAGTTCCTTACCCTATATGACAAGCTTTTCTGAGTGATATAAGATGGTGTCAATGCTTGAAGGTGGTGGGATTAGGTTAATACTAGAGAGTTTAAGGAATCTTCATTTAGAATCTAAAGGTATTACATGCAATATAAATTCCGATGTGTGAATGTAAAGTTCCATCACTCTTCCCAAGTTTTAGGAGGGCTTGAGGATTGACAACCCTTAAATTAGTTATCTGTTGTCTCAAATAGGTTCGAGATGTCACTCAAGTGGGATATATAACCTTTTCACGTTGATGTACAACAAAAATAAGATTTATAATTTTTTTTGAAATTATACATAAAGTGGCTTTTAATTAATCTTTAATATCAGAGGAATTACTCATTTAGTTGGTTATGTAGTTTGGATGAATTATTATAAGCTCCAGACATATTTGGATGAATAAAAAACATCATCAAATTTTATTGTATGAGAATTATACGTGTGTATACACTAATCTTACTTTTGTTGTACATGACAATTTATTATTAGATAATAGTTAAAAAAATATATTTATGTATAGTTAAATTCTTTAATGTTTAATCGTACAACACTGGTTAGTTTGATCTCCATTTTTGGTGCTAGTCTGGTGCCATACCTACTCATGTACTTTCCTCTCTTCTCCCTTTAACATAGTAAAACATGCGTATATTGGTGTAATTCTCAAAATTTCAATTAATTCTTAATTAAACAGTAGCTGTGAATGTTTTTTCCTTTTCTTTTTCTTTGCAGTACGAAATTTAGATGAATCATATTAATATAGAAGAGATATTTTTCATAATATTTTACACTACATTATTGTAATTACAGCAGCATCTAAAATTAACAACGGATATTATACAACAATAAAGGACCTATGATTTTTTATCTAAAACGATCCTTAATTTTCCTATCATCCTAAAACGATGAACAACAAAAAACAGTCAAATTTAGATGAAAAATACAAAAGAAGAAAAAAGAGTGAGAGAGGAGTTAAATAGAAATGGCAGAATCATAGAGGCAGGACCTTGACCTTTCCCATAAGGCACGAAGGAGGGATTAGGAGGGGCATAGTAGGATTGGAGTTCCATAGCCATAACCATAACCAACAGTGTAAGGAGCTGGAGGGGTGCAACACTGAACACTTGCAGCTGGAGGACACTTGGATTGGCCCTTTCCTGTCTTGTGTGGTGGTGGTGGAGTAGGAGGAGGAGGAGGGACACCATATGTAGAGTAACCAGTAGGTGGTGGTGATGCTCCTCCATAAGAAGGATAACCAGAAAGGGGTGGACAGTTCTCACAGAAAGTATTTGGGGTTGGAATGGCATCAGCTAATGCATCCCCATGAGTTTTAAGGTCAAATTGGACTCTGATAATAAGCAAAGGGCTGTAACTACAACTCCCAGAAACTCTGCTTCAAACATCTTCTCTAAAGCTTAATGTTTTACTTGCTTTAAACTAAGAAAATTCATTTATAAGAAGCAATGATGGAGATTGCAATGATAAACTTACAAAAGCTTTAGAGGAAAAGAGTGTTCTCCATTTGCTGTTTTCATTTGCAAGCAGGCACCTTTTTAATGCAGTTTTGGATCTTTCGTTTTTTTTATTCTACACATAGGATTTGGTGGCAGCACATTTGTCATCACATTATTGAACTAACACACATTAATGTCCTCCACTTTGCATGACTTTGTGCTAACATATTGATAAAGTTGCAACCTTTTTCTTTCACTTCTTCTTTTTCTATCTTTAAGACTTCTTTTAGACCTTGTTATTTTCATCTTAGGTAAATGCTGCCCTACCATTCATGATGGAATTCCTCACCATGATGAGTGTATAGGCGATTTTTTTTTTTTTATTAAGAAACTGTCTCTTGAAGTAGAGAAATTTATTGAACTTCAGAGACTTGTGAAAGAAAAAGCAGATTCACTATTTTTCACTCTGTTTTGGGACAAGAATGTTGGGGGACCAAAACTGTAGATTGCGGTCATATATTGTGCTTGTTCATAAGAGTCTTGGTCGGAATTAAAATGTCTCGTAATGCTTAATTTATGCGTTTGTCACATGTTATTTCTTCTGCTATCTGTTCTTATCCTGCAAAATGTAATTTTGTTGGATGATGAGAACACTGTCTCCCTCTTCTTTCCAGACCTAATCGCACTGGCCTTTGAGACTTTCGGAAATGTTAAACATATTCATGCATATTCTCCAAAATAATTAAAGTTTTAAAAAAATTAATTTATTGGAAAAGTAATTTCAAATTATAAATTGTAATGTGTCCATGGTGGAACGTCTTTACACACGTTAATTAACAAATTTTTAATGTCATTAGTTGATAGAAGTTTTAAAGGAGAAAATTAATGATTAAAATATATTTAATTCATATCCATTTCTCACATTTATATATCCCATTAATTCATTTACAATTTTGTTTATAATATTTTTTATTGAGAAGGAAAAATATTAATAAATTAATACTGATATAAATCAAAAATATTTCAAGTTAACTTGTGAAAACTAAATAAAAAATAAAAGAAATGGAATAATTTAATCAAGTTAAATTTCAGATTTAGTTGTAAAAATTAAGGAAAAATGTGTTTTATCTCTTATAAAATTTTAAATTTGTACATATTATAATTTACAAAAAATATTTTTATAAGATAAAATTTATATTCTTATATGTATATATATTATAATTTTGTCATTTTTTTTAAATTGTGCAAAATCTATAACAATAGATGTAGTAGGTTTAGTTAGGATGATCACGTTGCTTCTTTTACTCTTGACAACTCCTTTGATAGATGTTACCGAACAACAACGATCTAAGGTTTGCATTTATGGATTTATGATGTGGTTGAATATTATATGGGTTTTGGTATTATATTATATATATATATATATTCTGATATGTAAAAGAGTCATGCTACTTTATAGTATTTATTTTCGGATTTTCAATGCTCGTGTTAAAAAAATGTAACATTTTGTCAAAATGTATCTGAGAATTAGTATATTTAATCGTATTTTCAGGTTAATTTTTTCATCAGCAACTAATCTTTGGATTCATACTTCAATTAACAGGTTAATATAACCAGTACATATGATACTCCATAAGTGATATTTAACATGTTTGTAACTATAAAACCTTTATACACAACTAGCAATATCAATTGATAAATAGTTATGTTATTTAAGCATGTAAACATGAATTCAATATTTGAAATATAAAAAATTTACTGATATATTAAGCTTTTAAATAAAATTCAAAGACTCGAACCAGAAATATCTCGGACTCACAAAACAATTCACAGTAACAAACTCTGGAAGAGTTTAAGAGAAAAATAAGTAGGAAATTATAACAATAATCTTGAGTTACAGAATTGTATATTTGCTTGTCATACTAACAAGGCTTATTCACTCGCAGTTCAGACTGAGTACTTGCAATTGATTATATAAATATAGTCATTTTATTTTTCCCCAAATTACAATACAAAATTATTTCTTCATTGAAAATGGCTCGTGCAAAGATCCATATGTCATACAGAGTGTAATGAAAAACAATAACAATTACTTCTTATTTAAGTATAATTGTTGCTCTCTGATATAGTCAATCACTTCATCCGCAGTAAGGTATTTTATTGATAACCTCTTGCAATGCAATCCCTGAATGGTAAAATGACATTGAAATATGAACTACGTTTCCCTTTTTTTTTAATATCGTCCAGTAACTCTTGAAAGTAACCAAGGTCATAGCATACCTTACTCTGGTTGAACTGATTTGATTTGGTACAAGTTCCTCCACCACTTGATATAACCTAAAAAAATTGCAGGGGAAAATTTAAATATGCATAAAAGCGTAGTAGCAAACCAAATCATTCTTGTCATTATAAAGCATAGCAAAACCCAAGACAAACACTAAAGTTAGGTCCCGGAGTGTGATCCACAAGCTTTGTAAATGTACATCAAAATTTGACCTGATATGGTTAAATACAATACAAAATAAAAAAGATATTTGGAAATGTCCAACTGATAAACCACATTTTCTTTTCTTTAAACACACAGGGAAATAGAAATAGGTCAAGCTCGGAATGTGAATACCTATTCTCATTCAGAAATTCATTTTAGATATAATTTTCTGAATGTCTTGTCCTCTTCTGCTATGCATACTACTCCGTAATTTTGCATTATATATTGAACCTAAGCACATTGACAAAATTATGTTCATTGTTTCCACAACCTGTCCAATCAGTAGTCTGTAACATATGCGGCAATTCTGTTTATCCACTAGTCATCCAATCCATTATCATAATCTTTTTACCATTCCAGTTATAAAAATAAAATAAATAGATTAGCTGAACTACATCACCATTTTTTGTTGGATTGATATTTTGCAATGCATTTAATATCAAGTGAGTTCAGTACTTTCTTTATGAAACAAATATTCAGTTATGGTATTTGGGGTATAACTATTAAACTTTATTTTATAAAAAATATTTAGATAAAAATGTAATGGATTGTTGGAACTTTTTTATTGTGAGTTACGGATGGATTGGATTGTTTTTTAAGCATTTAAAGGGTCGTAGATGGTTTGATATTTCTATTTCAATTCAAGTATCCAATTCATTAGTTGACACTCCTGATATATATTTCACCCATGCTTTTGTGTCTACAGGGAAGAAGTTTGACACAATAAGCTTGTCATTTCTAAAAAAAAACACCACAAAATCAATCTAATTCCATTGAATTTGAATTCCACAACCATTTAAGACTCATTCACCAAAATTATGAGGAGGGGCAGAGTCTTGTTCCAAGAATTGTCAAATAACTCCATGTTAAACTAATATGTGATAAACAATATTATATTTTTCTATTATGTTGAATGCATAAGTACCTGGTCAGGAATCCAGAATCCAGGAATGCCAAAAGAATGAAGGAGATCAGAACCACAGAGAAGCATGACCTTGAGGGATTCTACACTAATCAATATAAACCCAAGTTATTGTATTGTTATAACATTGTCATAAACCTGTGTAGAAAGAAATGAAAGCCCAACACCGCATTTTTGTTTGATGAAGCGAACTATAAATGTTCCTTTTAGACCAAGTAACATTTAAATTGATGAACATATGGGATAGATGATATGCAATGATTGAAGGCTTTGGCACCATACAGAACCAAGTTGCCCATCCAATCATGCATCTACATTGCACCAAGAAATTGCACAAGATATATCCAAAAATTAAAATCCATGTATTAATTATTTAAATCACAAGTATTCCAGACACAAATCCTTAGAACCATTTTTTTCAAGTTTTCAGCAGTAGGGATAACATAAATGTGGACTGGTATTCATTCTTACAAGGATTAGGGATATGTTGGGGTAACTTCTTTACTAACCCTTCTAGAAAATTAATTTTTTTTTCATAAGCTAAAACTTGCTTATGCATAACTTAAAAATCTGATTTTGGAGGTGGTCACATGAGAAAGTTTCTATTAACTAATTTATGTACAAGTTAATTTTAATTTATCAAGAAGCCTATTTCATTTTTTCTTCTTACTTTCTTCTCTTAGAAGTGTTTGGGAAGAAGTTCATCGAGGATAGTTGTTTCAGAGTCACTTCTTCCCTTTGAGATGGCAATTAGACTAATATGATTTCATTAAAGGCTTTTTTGTCGAGCATACCTCTGGATACCAACCCTGTCTCACAAACAGAATTGTAGACTCTGGAGAGAACAGTTAAAGAGCGTTGATACGTGCTCTGACTTGCCTGTAGCAGTTTATAGCCAGATATAAATGCAAAGTATTAAGAAATAAGGTCGAGAGAGTAAAATATTTCTTGCAACAAATTGACATCAAAGCACATGTCTCTCCAAATTCTCTTCACATTCAAGAAAGGAATTGAAAAGACATGCGCAATCTAGCCGATATTACCTCCCATTGATCAACCATTACAACAATCTGAACTTTTGCAGGCTAAATGGCATAATTGTATTCGATGGTTAGCAGATATTAGGCCCTACACAAGCATACAAGCGAAATTCAATTAGACCAACATGGGGCAGTGAAACTAATAGCAACACTTAACATACGATTTGATCTCTTTGCTGAGAAAGTAAATTAAAAGTTGTGTTTTAAATCTCAAACAGATTGCTAACTGACTCTCGATAATAGTTTTCCCCCGAGCTATGTTTTACTTTATTCAATCATTTAATTTGCTAACAAGTTTTACAGTCTCGCAAGCTTTAATATAATAAATGGATAATCTTTTTCTCTCCTTGCTCGATAACAACATACCTTTTTCTTGTATGAATCATTCACAGGAGACAAGTAACCTCCAATTACACAGTAGCCGTTTGAATTCAACGCATCTCTCGCAAGCTCTGAGGATAACATCCACAATTATTTTTTTTTAGAAAAAGATCAGACAATCAGAAAATAAATGAAAAATTAAATGTGAGGGAATATTCTGATCATATAATATACTATCATCCTCATTTCATGCACTTATGGCTATTACAGTACTGAGATACCAATGAACATTTATGATGTATATGAGATCTTAATACCCCTCCCCCCAAATTCTTCTACACTCAACAGAAAAAAAGAAAAATATCCATTTTTCCATTATCAATACTTTCAAGAGTGAAGGTACAGTCAAGATGCCATCTTTTCTTTATTTCAAAGGAGTGGAAGGAGTTAAAATTATTCAGATATGAGTTTCATAAGTACGAAAGTAGTTTGAATGTCTCAAGGTAGAGGAACAACAATTTTCTACCGTGCAAGAGATGAGAACAAAGGAAAGAATCTGAGCTTTAAATCCAACTCACCAAACATCCGTAAATGCATGAAAGTAGGTGGATTAAAGCTTCCAGTTGCAACCAGAATTACGTATATCTTGTTGCTGTTTTATTGGGAAAGAGAGAATGAATGTCATAAATCATTATTAGGTCAATTGAAAACACCCCACAAAATTACCCATGATAAATATATAATAAATAATAAAGGAACATACTTGCTAGTGTTTCCAGGGGCGGGTTCATTATTAATCAAATTTAAAGCCAATTTATCCAGTGGCAGTGGAACATCCATGACCTGAAGCCATTAAAATATCATATCATTGCTGTAATAAAAAAAGAAGAAGCAAACAACTAGTTTTTTCCTTGTTTAAGTGAACATGAAATTCCAGTTTCAAGCTCTAAACAGAATACAACATGTGTTTTTATTCAGCTAAACGTGAAGAGAAGCAGTTTCAAGCTAGAAAAAGAAAATGAGAAATCAGAGACAAACCGGTCATTAACAGCTAATCCACAAACTCGGTACTTTTCAATCAAGTTTAATTCGATGAGAATGAGGTGCAGGTGACTGTTGATGAAGCAATAGAAGAATTAGCGTCACACAATATATAAAAGCAGTGAAGAATGGGTGGATTTGCTAAAGGATTAGAGTGAGAAATGTGAATTTGGATTTGCTCGGTGATTGTAATTGGAGAAGTAAAAAGATATTGCAGTGAATTATAAAGAAAAGAATTAAAATTAGAGAGAGAAGGAACCTGGGTTTGTTGCTTGAGGAGGTGAGAGTGCTCCTTAATTTCAACATCCAACGAATACACAAATACTACAATTCATGAAACTTTCTTTCTTTGTTTCATGAATTTGGTTCCTTCAACGAAGGCGTCAAATTCCACATTCCAATATTCCATTTCCATGCTCACACCATACTTCACGCTTCTTCTTTTTTATTTTCCAATAGAATTCAATTGATGGGCCAACAAATACCCGTAGTCTGACACTGGCCCAATGTTGAAAATGTTCTCCGTGCCCATCATCTTACAGTCTTTTACTTCCTGCACCCCACAATTTCTTCCCACATCCCATAAAATTTTCAAAATAAAAGTGACTTCCTAATTACATGTTTTGGAAACTTTTCACAATATTTTCAGAATAGAATTTTTGAAAGAAAATTTCTGAAATAAAATTTTATAATCACTAATAATGCCTTCCAAAAACGAAAATTTCGAAACACCCCTACTTGAAATATATTTTAGAAAGAACTTTCTAAAATATAAAATATATGTTTTGGAAATATTTTTTCGAAGCTGAGTGTTTTTCCGCATTTGTTCTCTACAATTTTGATGGCAACAATGATGGTGTGGAGGTTTGGTAAAAGATATTTAAGTCTTTTCCTATTTTTGGTGTGTATAGTAATTGTGGGGGTGTATGAAGCTATTTCCTATTCTACACCAACGTATACTTTAGGCCTCTTAGGGAATGAAAACAAACTTTTAAAAGTAATATTAAATGAAAATAATAAAGTAGGATTTATATATATATTTTTAGAAATTAATAAAATTATATATTCGATTTTTTTACTTAAATAAAACTAAAATCTATATATGAGTAATCCAATGAAATAAACGAAAACAATATAAATTTGAGTTAAATTTAATTAGTGAAATTTCATACCCACCCAAGCATGACTTGGTGAAGGCTAGCAAAAGTATTTAAGTTGTAGTTTATGATGAAAATAAGAAAAATAAAGTTATATTTTTCCATTGATTGATTGAATTCTTGTTGATTCTTGGAGAAGGCATGGGCACGTGCATGTGCATGGTTGTCTTCTTCATCTTCATGCTCTTCTTGGGCGCTCTATGTGAGGTGGCAGCCACACAAAACAACGTCGTCGGCTTCGACTTCCCTTCTTTCACCCTCGACAACAACAACATCACCCTCCTAGGCGATTCCTTTTTATGGAGCAACGGCGTCGTAAGACTCACAAACGTCGCATCCACTTCCAGCACCGGCGCCGTCATCTACGCCTACCCCATCCCACTCTTCCACCCTCCAACCGCCACCTTCGCCTCCTTCTCCACCACCTTCACCTTCTCCATCANATTTTATAATCACTAATAATGCCTTCCAAAAACGAAAATTTCGAAACACCCCTACTTGAAATATATTTTAGAAAGAACTTTCTAAAATATAAAATATATGTTTTGGAAATATTTTTTCGAAGCTGAGTGTTTTTCCGCATTTGTTCTCTACAATTTTGATGGCAACAATGATGGTGTGGAGGTTTGGTAAAAGATATTTAAGTCTTTTCCTATTTTTGGTGTGTATAGTAATTGTGGGGGTGTATGAAGCTATTTCCTATTCTACACCAACGTATACTTTAGGCCTCTTAGGGAATGAAAGCAAACTTTTAAAACTAATATTAAATGAAAATAATAAAGTAGGATTTATATATATATTTTTAGAAATTAATAAAATTATATATTCGATTTTTTTTACTTAAATAAAACTAAAATCTATATATGAGTAATCCAATGAAATAAACGAAAACAATATAAATTTGAGTTAAATTTAATTAGTGAAATTTCATACCCACCCAAGCATGACTTGGTGAAGGCTAGCAAAAGTATTTAAGTTGTAGTTTATGATGAAAATAAGAAAAATAAAGTTATATTTTTCCATTGATTGATTGAATTCTTGTTGATTCTTGGAGAAGGCATGGGCACGTGCATGTGCATGGTTGTCTTCTTCATCTTCATGCTCTTCTTGGGCGCTCTATGTGAGGTGGCAGCCACACAAAACAACGTCGTCGGCTTCGACTTCCCTTCTTTCACCCTCGACAACAACAACATCACCCTCCTAGGCGATTCCTTTTTATGGAGCAACGGCGTCGTAAGACTCACAAACGTCGCATCCACTTCCAGCACCGGCGCCGTCATCTACGCCTACCCCATCCCACTCTTCCACCCTCCAACCGCCACCTTCGCCTCCTTCTCCACCACCTTCACCTTCTCCATCAACAACCTCAACCCCGCCTCCTCCGGCGACGGCCTTGCCTTTTTCCTCTCCCCGAACACCACCTCCACCAATCTCTCCCTCTCCGCTCCACTCGGCCTCCCCTCCTCCTTCGTCGCCGTCGAGTTCGACACGCACTTGGACCCCCGCTTCGGCGACCCTAACGAGAACCATGTCGGCTTCGACGTCGACTCCATGAAGTCCCTCAAAACCGGTGACCCCATCTTGCACGGCATCGACCTCAAGAGCGGCAACACCATCATCGCATGGATCGACTACGACGCCGGTCGAACTTCTCTCGCCGTTTTCTTGAGCTATTCACTTCCAAAACCCGTGGACCCCGTCCTCTCCGTCAAGTTCAATCTTTCTCAACACTTGAGAAACCCCGTCTACATTGGATTCTCCGCTTCCACCCAAGGAATTACCGAGATTCACCAAATCCAGAGTTGGACCTTTCACAGTGCTTGTGCTCCCGCAAGAACGAGGTTGCACCCTCACAACGTTTCCGTGATGGGAACTGTACCTATTTCTGGTTCGGGTTCAGGTTCTGGTTCTGGTTCTGGTGGTTCTGCTTCTGTTTCTAGTCCAAGCACTAATTCTACTTCCAAGAAGCATGGCAAGAGGGTTGGCGTTGGTGTGGTTGTTGCGGGATCGGTCTCTTTCTTTGTGGTTTTTTCAGTCTTGGGGTATGTTTTTGTTCGGAGATCGAGGGGTGGGAGAGAAGAAAAGTTTGAGAATGGTTTCGTGGCATGTCCTAGGGCGTTCGATTACAAAGAGTTGAAGTCTGCGACAAGAGAGTTTCATCCGAGTAGGATTGTTGGGCACGGATCTTTTGGGACGGTGTATAAGGCGTTCTTTATCTCTTCCGGAACCATTGCTGCAGTGAAAAGGTCGCGGCACTCTCACGAAGGGAAGACAGAGTTTCAGGCTGAACTGTCCATCATAGCCGGTTTGCGGCACAAGAATTTGGTTCAGCTGCAAGGTTGGTGTGTTGAGAAGGGAGAGTTACTGCTGGTGTATGAGTTTATGCCCAATGGAAGTTTAGACAAGATGCTTTACAAGGAACCTGAAGTGGGGAGGTTGCTGAGTTGGTCTCACAGGGTGAACATTGCTGTTGGGTTGGCCTCTGTACTGGTTTACCTACACCAAGAGTGTGAGAGGAGAGTGGTTCACAGGGACATTAAGACTGGTAACATATTGCTGGATGGAAACATGAATCCTAGGTTGGGGGATTTTGGATTGGCAAAGCTGATGGATCATGATAAGAGTCCTGTGTCCACTTTGACTGCTGGAACAATGGGGTACCTTGCCCCTGAGTATCTTCAGTATGGAAAGGCCACTGACAAGTCTGATGTTTTCAGCTATGGGGTGGTTGTGCTTGAAGTGGCTTGTGGAAGGAGGCCAATTGAGAGAGAAGGGTCGAAAATGGTGAATCTGATTGAGTGGGTTTGGGGGCTGCATTCTGAAGGAAAGGTGATTGAAGCTGCTGATAAGAGGTTGAATGGGGAATTTGAGGAAGAGGAAATGAGGATTCTTTTGCTCTTGGGATTGAGTTGTGCTAACCCTGATACTGCTGGGAGGCCTTCCATGAGAAGGGTGCTCCAGATTCTGAACCATGAGGCTCCACCACTTACTGTGCCAAAAGTTAAGCCAACACTCACCTTCTCCTCTGCACTTCCCCTCACTATTGAGGACATTGTTTCTGACACTGAAGAAGTGTTCAGTACCAGCAGGTCTGTGTGTGAGATCAACTTTGACTGAACTCAACTTATTCTTTTCAAGGATCATCGTTTCTATTCTCATACGGTGACACTTCATTCACTGAACTATCATGTGTGTGCTCAGGGCACAACAGAGGAAGCTTGTTTTTGTTTTAGTCATGGCTCAAACTAGTTACAATAACAAGTGTTTGCAATTTTACAAGTCTACAAAATGAGGAAAGTGGGGAGTTGACTCACAAGTTTGTATATTACCACTCATGCACTATGTTACAACGCAGAATTGTTGATGAGGACCTTGTTCATAAAATGGGCCTTGGGCATTCTAAGATTTTACTTCCTGCACCTCACCATTACTAAATTCAACTCATTAATAGTGTAAAGTATTGGAATACCCTTACACCAAACCAATGAAAAAGAGAGAAAGACCACTCTAGAGGAAGAGAAATTACTAAATTACTTGAATTCTTACCAATAGGTACATATGATTACTAAATTACTTAAAATTTTATACCAATTTCTAGGTATATATAATTAATGTTAGTTTTTTTTTTTTTTAAGTAATGAGTTTAATTTTTACATACTAAAAATATAGAAAATATTTAACAATAAGAATGTTGATATTATATTTTAAAAAATTTGAAATAATAAAATATAAATTATATGAATATAAAATAAAATTTACAATATTTAGAACTGTGATTTTTTTACTATAAATATATATTTTAAGATTTGAAATAAATTGTTAAGTATAATATTTTTAATTTATTTTATTACAAATATAATTATTTAAAATCTTATACAAAATTTGATATATATATATATATATATAATTTATGGTAATTTTTTATTAAATAATATCAGTTTAATTTTTACATAATAAAATTATGAAGAATATTCAAAAATAAGAATATTTCTGTAATAATTTAATATAAAAATGATATATAAATTTTTTTTTATTCAAAATTGTTTGTGATAAAATTATTACATCACAATTTTTTTACGGTGTAAATAATTTGTATTATTAATAAATATATATTATTTTCTAATTGATATGGTGATTTTAAATTTAAAAAATTAATAATACTATTTAAGAACTTAAATATAATTTATTAAATATTAAATGATAGAATTGAAATATAATTCTCTAAAACAAATTAAATTGATAAAAGAGTAAAATAATTCGTTAGAGAAACAATTCTTTATATGGTAGTTGAAATATAATTATCTTTTTATGATAAATCAGTTAAAAGCAAATAAAAGACTAAAATAATTGGTTAAGAAAACAATTGTTTATATAGTAGTATAAACAATTTGAATTATTAATAAATATATATTATTTTTTAAATAATATTATTTTAAGAAATAAAAGTTAAGTATATTTTTCTAAACTTAATTTTATTAAATTATCAAATACTTACAAATTATAAAAGAATAAAATTAAAAATAAAAAAATAATAT